ATCTACCGAGAAGAGTGCAACCCGCCCTACCGACGGGTACACAAGGTGAGGAAGGCTATACACACGGAATCGGGGTACCCCCTCCGTTAGTCGGTCGTCCGGGCGCCAGTGGAGAGTTGGGATCGCATCAGCAATTTTGCGAATCCCACTCCACCACAGGATCGCTTGACAACAGATCTTTAAGCGCCTTCCAATGAAAACACCATTCCAGCTGATCCAGTTGCCATCCTTTCGCCTTGTCTTCCTCATTCGCCAGCTTCATGTCGGCATCATCATGATCCGATTCAGGCGCCTTCATCTTCACTCGAGATGGCTTCGAATTCTTCTTCTTCTTCGAATTTGGAGTGGCTTTGGATAAATTTCCTTCGGGTTTAACCGTAGGATTTTTATCCAGCGGATCGCGTTGCAAAACGTGATCCGCTGGGGTCCTCGAAAGGACCTGGGGAGGGGGTAGAGGGTTTTCTTCCAGATCAATCTCTTGATCTTCCTCTTTGGTTTCTTTTCATCTGCGCCCCTCCCAAAACGCTGATGATCCGGGGATCTTTTTTCTTCACACGTCTGCGGTGATCCTTTTGCCGCTGACGCTTCAATCCCAGGTTCAATTTTGACCTTTACATCTTCTCTCAGGGACTCACGGTGAAATCCCGAGTCACCAGAAGATCCGGGCATGCGCACCATTGTGGTGGTGTGGTATTCGCAAAATTGCTGATGCGATCCCAACTCTCCACTGGCGCCCAGACGACCGACTAACGGAGGGGGTACTCCGTTTCCGTGTAAAGCAATTCCTTCCTCACCTTGTGTACCAGTCGGTAGGGCGGTTTGCACTCTTCTCGGTAGACTTGAGTCGATGTTGAACTTGATTGTGTTAGGGATAGGTGGGGGGCGATCGAGTGGAATTCCTCATACGATCGCAGTTGTTCTTGGGGTGCTCTATTTGAGTCGCCCTGATCTCCCTTGAGATCGCCTTATCCAATGGGTTGATACTTAGTACGCCTGCCTTCTGACCACTTGAGCCGTCTCGCGATCTTGTACTGGACTTCTTAGTCCTCTGCATCCAATCGCAGCTTAAGTTGTTTTGTTGAGAGTTCTTGCAATCCCTGGCCAAACAATCCAGGGATATGACTTGAGTAGTATGTAGACTTCCTTGAGACGTCGGGAGGCCAAAGAATCCAGCCTGGAAGAGAAGTCGACACCTGTACTTAGAAGCAAATTGAACTCTGTTAATGTTAACCAATCAAATACCAAAACCTATGATCTTGACTATCTGTAGCTCAGGATCTATTGCCACGTATCGCCCTTTCGGAAAAAATCAGATCTCGGAATGTGGTCCACTCCAATATAGCCGCGATCTGGATCGCTACCTCACTCGGACATAATACCATTTTAGTACCAGATCGCGGTACTAAATAATTAGTACCAGATCGCGGTACTAAATAATTAGTACCAGATCGCGGTACTAAATAATTAGTACCAGATCGCGGTACTAAATAATTAATATCGGATCGCGGTACTAATAATTAATATCGGATCGCGATACTAATAATTAGCATCGGATCGCGACCCGCCGGATCACAACTTGTCCTCTTCACCGTTTCTCAGGTCATGTGAGATGGTTCATCAATGTGACATTTCATATCCACCATTCCAGTCCTCCATAGCGACGTGATCCACACCAGACCGTCCTCCACATGCTTGGATGTACCCATCTTACTCCTTAGCGACCGCGTTCACGCGGATCGCCATCGGAAATACTGGAGATCGCAATAGCGTAGTTCCTAGGCCATATTTGACCCCACATAGAAGTGCAAACTACACCATTCACTGTTTTCCATCCCATTTGACATCGTCTTGAAACCTTTCTGCGAGATCGCGACTCATCAATATTGGCCATTTCGGACTTAACCGAAAATATGCGATCACACTTTGCGAAATTCACTCCTTCACTTCGCCACAAAAAAATATGCAGATGCTAAAGGCAGAAGTTGTATTAATGATTATGAGGTCGGAGACCAAGTATTACTTAATGCTAAAAATCTACCTACCAATGTAGTATCTGCTGTCTTTAATACGAAGTTGCGTCCGCGCTTTATCGGATCATTGCCAAGAAATGCACAGCGTATACGCTTAATTTGCCTCGCAAATTGCGTACACATCCTGTTTTCTACGTCGGCACGCTGAAACCATATCGGGATCCGTCCCAAATAGACGCTAAGGCCCTCGCGCCGAGTTCATCGGCATTGTCGCGGGGCGAATCATCTGCACTAACAGGTCAAGCTGACCCTGCACTCGGGTTCGGCTCTCTTTCAGTGACTCAAGACGGGAGTTTATCGACTGCATATCCGCACGGAGGGACCGCACCTCATGGAGAAGCTCGGCATGAGCTTGTGCCGATGCACCGGCCTCCTCCGGCTTTGCTTGATGGGCAGGAAAACCTTCAGTTCCATGTTGAACGTCTTTGCAGAAACGTCGCCGCCATGGTCAATACCAGTATCTGGTAAAGTGGCGGGGTTATCCCGAGTCGTGGAACTCATGGGAGTTTGAGATTTATCTTCGGCAGGATTGCCCATACGCCGTGGACGTTTTTGAGCGTCGTGCGCAGGGTCAGCCTGTTGGCGGTGACGCTTCTCACCAGTAGTGGTGGGGGCGGACGAGTCAGCGGCCTCGGCCTGTCGTGGACTCGCGGCTACAGGTGTAGCCGAAACATTGGGGTGCTGGGTAGCAGACGCATAACGCGTTCGTTGAGACTTCAATTGTCCCCGGGCCTTCAATTTAGCGTAATCGTAACGCATTTTCCGTTCGAGTCGAACATCTGCCACATCGGCACTTGCCCTTAGGGCCCACATGCTGCTTAAACGTCGCGCATAATGCGCCCAGCGGCTGAAAGCCGTGTCTTCTTCGTCCTCGGTTTCCCCCGCGAACAGAAGGATGGGAACACCCTTTATGGGAGGAACTGGCGCACCACGCACTTGCCTGTTAAGGCGTGCCAAGTATTGGCTTTGCGTAGTAATATGGGGTTCCAGGTATCGTTGTCGAAGGGCCGTTCGCGTTGCAACATCCTTGGGTGAAATGGCCTCATGCCCAATGGCCCAGCCAGAAAGGGAATGCCCAGATGCCTCCTTTAGTCGTTCTTCCACCGTAGGTGGTTTGAACCTGTAATGTCGGTGGTCTTTGTCCGGCGCTTGGCGCCTTTCTCTTGGTCAATGGTCTGCTGTTGCTGCTCGTCGAGTGGGTTGGTAACCGTCACCGTTGATGATACGTCAGGCGGGTCACGTAACGCTGTTAGCGAATCTGCAGCACCACGTTCAGGGAACGGATTCGGTGCATGTGAGTGTCATCTTCATGGCTAATGGGGACCCATCGAGTCTCACAAAGACGGTGTCACTTTCTTAATCAACCGCTTTGTCAAGGTCGCCTTCGATAAGGTCCCGTAGAGTCTGTGACTCAGTTCCAAAAGGCGTCATGTTATGTGCCGTGAACAAACCGTGAGGTTTTAAACGTTCGCTAAAGCACTACCTCTACGAGGAAAGATGTCGAATGACATCCTATGGGAACGTCAGTCTGGTGGGGGAGGGTGTAACGGGTTACACGACGGTTGTAGCGTCTTTCCAAGAGTTTACGCTTAAACTCTCCTTTGTATTGCATATAATGCATTATTATACTTCTCTTTAGAGAGGTATTAAGTATGGGCGTTAAGGATACAGTATTCGGTAATACTTTATCTTATTGATTGGGATTCGATAAATCACTAACGCTGTACTAAGTACATCATACACAGATGTTAGACGATACGTCGTCCAATAGCAAAGTCTGCATATAATAATTACTAATATAGTAATTATTCTAGTGTAGTGTACTTAGAGTAGGACTATTCATAAAATCTTAAAGCATAAATATAATCAGTTCTCATTTTGAGTTTAAGATCGCAAGTCGTTCTGACTTGTTCTCTTGTGCACTTCGTGCGTTGGTTCTCTGAACCTTTAAGCTTCTAACTTGTTCTTGCACTCTGTGCGTTGGTTCTATGAACCTTAAGCTTATTGATTGACTGACTAAAAGTATCTTTCCTAGTTCCTTAGAACAGGGTGACTTTAAGTCGTTTAATTAGTTCCGTAGAACTAAGTGGCTTTTAGCCTAAACTCTATTTAGTTCTCTAGAACTAAGAGCCTTCCAGCCTAAAGCATTCCTCTGGCTAAAGAGCTGTGCAGCTCCGCTACAGGTTATTAGAAAGTCAGTGTACAGTAACAATATCGGCCATCTTCGAGCAGCATTTCGAGAGGTCTCAACAGCCATAGGTAGTCACGACGATTCTGGTCGCAGTACTATTGATTGATGGGATTTCAAACGTTCTTGATTGTTGCATTCCAATCAATCACGCCGTCTTCGCCAACCCACTTTCAATGTGCAAAATGCAGAAAGACAAGTACATCATGCTGCGAACCTATTCAGGCGAGACCAATTACACCAAATATCTTCCGGTGCACTGTAAATCATTACCCCACGTGTGCCGCCTTATCGATGAATATCTGGTGGACTCTATAAATCCACAGGTCCTTCAAGACGCATGTGAACATGGAGCATCAAGTGACGACCTCGAGTTCATTCGGAAGAGGACAGCTCCAAAATGGACGAATGTGGTAAAAGCAGCAGCTAGAGGCGGATATTTACACGTGTTTGAGTGGATGTTAGAACGGCAAGACGGTTGTTGTCCGTGGGAGGTTGATCTTAGAGATGTTCTTGCAGAGGCTGCTGCACATGGTCATCTCGAGCTTATGAAGTGGCTATATAGTCGAGGTATTGACAATGTTGGCAACAAAGTGTTTGATCGAGCTGCTACTGAAGGACATCTTTCGATTGTGCAATGGTTGAACAAACATACCAGACTTACTGGACCTAGTGATATACTTAGTGGTGCCGCTAGAAAGGGCCACTTCGAAGTTGTGCAGTGGTTATATGAGAACGTTTGTAGGGAACAGATGGCATCAGCAATGGCTTCAGCCGCAATAAATGGACATCTAGAAATACTACAATGGCTACACCAACAAGTTTGTTGTGATGGTGTGTGCACCACTAGTATCATGGATGTGGCAGTCAGTGGCGGTCACTTCGATGTCGTCAAGTGGTTGTTTGAGAATTGCAACGCTGGCTGCTCCGAGCGCGCTGCTGAAACGGCTGCCTCTAACGGAGATTTGGCCATGCTGCAATGGCTACATCAACATTTTCGTCCGAAATGTCATTCGAATGTAATGGATCATGCGGCAAGAGGGGGTCAGCTTCATGTACTCAAGTGGCTGCACGAACAAGGATACGATGGCTGTACAACGAATGCGATGGATGCGTCTGCAAAAGAAGGACGTCTTGATATTGTGCAATGGCTGCACGAGAATCGAAATGAAGGATGTACGACAAACGCAATGACTTCTGCTGCAATTCAAGGACACCTGCACGTCGTCAAGTGGTTGCACGAATATAGGTCCGAAGGATGCAATAATTCTATTATGTATTGGCCAGTTTGCGAAGGCCATTTGGAGGTGGTCAAGTGGCTAGTCGAGCACAAACCGGAAATGTGTCTTGATGATTTGATGGAAGAAGCTGCTTGGCGCGGTCATTTAGATGTGGTTGTCTATCTAGATGAAAACACGACGCAACGGGGTTCTGAATGGGGTCTAGGTGCTGTTGCTAAAGAAGGCTATGCGAAGGTAGCTATCGCATTGATGCGACGTCATTCCGGGATCTTCCGACGTGGAATGTACTCGTGCTTCCTGAGGCTGTTAAACCAGCTTTCAAATGAGGGTGATACTCCAGCTTCTCCATTGTGGAACGAGTTATTGAGAATGCTCGAGATCTTCCACAGTGATGAGTGTAGCGCAGGTGTGATCACACTGCTTGATCTAGCGCTGCAACGTGGATATTTGGTCATGGCTCGACAATTTTTCGATCGCAGAAGCGAACAGGAAAAGTGTCAATATGTTGCTATTGCTGCCGATCATAATAATATCGTATTGATGAGGTGGATGATTGAGAATGGGGCCCCATTGAGCGTTCATACAGCGATCTCTCTTGCCTCAAGTCACGTGATTGACAGGAGGTACGTTGAAGTTACTTGGTGGTTGTCTGAAAGCGATCGCGTGGTTGTCATTCGTATCGCTCTAGAAAACAATGTCCGCAAGTTGTTGCTGTGGGTGCTACATAATACTGTCTTCGAGGATGTGACTTCACGGAATGCTATTCGAAGTGCTCTTACGAGGGCCGATAACGTTACAGCACACTGGCTTTGTGACTACCTCTCGAATGATGACACTCGTAGTTGGTGTTTCCCATTGCATCAAGAAAAATCAAGCGCTGGGACGCAATTTACGAGGGCTGCCAGTGCAGATAGAAGCTAAGAAGCAAGCGTACTGGGACTCAAGTAGTGGTCAATAGTTTGCTATCATGCAAACAAACAAACACTTCAAGGTGTGTTTCTTGACTAGATAGGCATATTCCTAATGAGCCTAGACTACCCTCAATCAGAAAGTATGTTTTTGCATCGAACAAATTGCAATGCCTTCTCTCTACCCAACACAGTGGCAAGAAATAAAAGTCGCTCCAGCTTTGGAATTCCCTTCTATGACGTTTTGCCCTTTTAGAGACTGATCGGTTGCATTGGGGGAAACTTAGCACGGGTACATGAAGCATCACATGCGTTTCTACAGGATAAAGGGGTCTTCAAAAGTCTTGAGATCGTGAGATTCTTATCGGTGTGAGACTCGACAGCGGGCAAAGGTTTCAGGCTAGAGTATGCGTTACGCGCCGTTTGTGTGATGTATCATTTGAAGCATCAATTGTTCGAACAACTTGTGCAAAGCTTCCGATAACAATTTCATAGCAAGTGCTTGGAAGTCGGCCAACGAAAGGCAATGAAGGCGGAAGGAAAGAACATCAACAGATGCAGCAACTTCCCGATTTCACGGATTCTTCTTGCCACATTGCGCAGAGCTTTGCTAATTGCATCCTCAGTAGTCATCTCAAAAATTTCGAGGACGTCCATATTTGAAAACACATGAACCCGCAACGAATTTAAGCAGGAAGCGGTAGAGGTGGAATGAACGAGATGACCGCAGCAACATTTTCAACAATCAGGACATGTTAATAACGGTATATCTTTATGTCCGTTCCGAAAAGCGAGCTTTCGGTATTCTTTCAGGACATTTGCCATACTATCCCATCTTTTATGGCTACTCAGTAACAATTGCACAGCAGTGGCATAGCTTGATGCAGCCAACTCGGCATCGAAGACACTTAGCTACATGCGACAACCTAGTAGTTGAGCTCAAGCACCTTTTTGGACAAGAAGTAGTGTATTGTCAATATTGATCGTATCTGGACGCAAAGATAAATCGTTTAGGGCGTCCAAGTATCGATAGAAAATTGATCCAACCTGGATTTCGATGCTGTCGACAAAGAGTTGATGGTCTCCCATGTTTTTGATCGAAAAGAGCTTTTTAAGTGCACCTTGAAGTGGACATGGCTACATTTTTATGATAGGCTAATTTTCGATTGAATATCCTCCAATCCTACTCATCGTAGCTGTCGACCAATAGCTCGAGCAAGGTGTCATGATGCTCCGCGTGGAGCTTCGTCTACGGGCGTCTCCTACTTCCTTACGTCGTCTTCAGCACTCGGCAACTTCTACTTCTGTTTTATCTACATCTTCCATCAATTCCACGGGTCCCGGTTCATCTTCTGAAGCCAATGGAAATGGAGAGGAGCCACCGAAGTACAAGCCTGGATGGTTCAGTCGTAATCCTGGCGTAACATTGGGCGGGATTCTCTTGGGTATTGGCTGTTATATCTATAGAGGGTCCAGGAGTAAGAAAAACTTTGAGGCACTGCAGAATCCTATCGCAGAAGCGGCAGTTATCTCACCCTATGAGGCTTGGGAGCTCCGTAGCAGCAACAACATTACGTAGGATGATATATGCCGAGTGTACTTAGATCAGCTGCATTTAATGTGCTGATGCTGCTACTCTAACTATTTCTTGTCGATTCATTGCAGACCCGAGACCTTTGAGGACATAAGAGATGGAGTGACAAAGGCATTTCCTGCTGGTAAGGCTACAATGCAACACTTTGACCAGTATCTGGGCTTCAAGCTGGCTCAAGCGTGTCCGACGGGAGTGAAGAAAGCTTATCATCTGGAAAGAGTCTTATTAAGTCTAGAGAAAGACAAAGATCACAAGAGTGACGTCGATGCGCAGATGGTGGCCTTCTCCATGGCTGTTAAGGGGGACGTGAACGAGCGGTTGCGAGTTCTGTTCAACTTGGCGACAAAAGCACCGGCAGGTGAAGCACTCAAGACACTTGCAGAAGATAATAAAGAGGAGACCGAGATGCGTGAGATGTCCCAGGAACAGTTGGAGCGACTGATCCACCTGCTGCTTGAGACGAACCAAATCCCCTCCGAGAAACGTGTGCTGGCTCGCGAGGATGTCAAGTACCCGTTCCAGGAGTACATTACAGCGACTTCATCCGATATGCTCAAGGCTGCTGTACAGACTCAGATACGTGACAAGAAGATTACGAAAGAGGAAGCACAAGAACGTCAGACGTACACGTTTGACGCGTTCTCGCAACTCATGCGAGGCAAGACTGTGTGTTTATGGGGCGAATGTTTCACCAACAGCAAGAAGAAAATGAAGAACTAATTGACTGTAGTTGCCACTTAACTACATGAGCTAAACATTCTTGTCTTCATTATGAAACTGGACTACTGGTCTGTTCCATGTAAGCGAGTCGCATCATCGGATGCGCCTCGACTTCATTCATCTCCTGCAGTACCGTCGCTGCACTGTGCCGCAATTGATGAAACTGTTGCACTGGCACATAAATCGTCCGTGTCTCACCGTCCGACGTCTGTAGCCGCAACAAGATGCCCTTTTTATCGTCATTCTTTACTTTCCAATGCAACTGTTGAACTCTCGGGAGTGAAAAGGTGGCACTTTTTCCAGTCTGCGTCAGTGCGTTCCAATGCAACTCGAGAAGTTGTTGGAATCGCAATTGGCAGGCGGCAGGGAGATACTGCAGAAGTGTGTGCTGTCTCATCTGCTCCGTCTTTAGTGACGTGGCTACCTCATTACTAGCTAATGAAGGCAAGAGGAACGTCAGATGTTGACGCACTGCAATTTCGATCAGTCGTCGGAGTTCCACGGCCAAAGTCAGAAATGCCTGGCGGTCCATGTCAGTAATGCTTCCAGCTGTACGTTCAGCAATGGCGTCGTCCTTTGAGTATAGAGCGACGGCTAACTGCATAGCGGAGTCGAGGTGATGAGATACGAAAGCCTCATTGATGTCGTGCAGCACATGAGCAGTGGACGACGATAAAGGTGCTGTCGCATGTCGCATAGTTTTCAGATGGGGGAGATCCAAGTGTGTCGACCACGTTTTAATGTTAAGTGCGGGCTGAACACCTGAGTCCGTATTTACCGACCGTACTTAAGGACGTATTCTAGTGCAAACGTATTTTAGGACTGGAGACTAAAAAGTAGTGTGTCATCAAAAAGACCGACACCAGGATACTTTTGCAGTACAACTTATACTGTATAGCGATTGTTTTATCTATTCTAATTTTAATGCATAGATCTTACCTTAGCACTTACATATACGGCGGCAGCTCCATACCCGTCAGCAGCAAGTTATTCGGCTCGTCAATAAACTTCCTCACATCACTCGATGGAATGAACGCCACATGACCCGCCAACGCTTTACGCATCTGCCACGCTGCATGTTGTTCTCTATCATCTATTGACGGCGCTTCACTTTCCTCTCCGCTCGACGGGACAATACCCTCTACAAGACCCACACACTCGCCTGTGGTGGCTGCCACGACTGCTCCACCGCACATTCCTTCTTCCAACAGCTCCTGACTCCAAGCAAATGCTTGTCCACTTGTGCTGCGTCCAACAAAATGTCCTGCCACAGCCTTGGGAATCTGATACTCCTCCTTCACTTGTCGATGACCTGAAAAGATCACGTCGTCTCCCTGTTTACACGGCGCCGACTGCAGCACCAGCGTCCGGACGTCTCTTAAGTTCGTATCTGCCCATTGCCACTTCTCGACAGCGGCAGAATCTGCCAACGTCAAGAGTGCCAAGTCTCGACTCTCATGTATCTTTACTTGAGCAGTCAATGGAAAGTCAAGCAGAACTTCTGGCTTGATGACAGTTGAGTTGGGGTCGTCCTCATTGACAGCCAATAACTGCAATGAATGACGGACGTGATCCTCGTTTATAAACTGTAACCAGTCCCACGTAGCTCTAAAATAGTGTGGAAATAACCAGGGACATGCTACGTGTTGACATGTGACAACAGCCAGCGAAAAGCTTGGAGAATCGTTAATAGAGTCGCGTAAGACGACAGCTGAGCCCCTAGAGATAGAGTTTGTTAGAGTACATTTTAGTCTAGCTAGAAAGAGATTTGAGAGACAGAACTGAATGTGGTGGATAGATAAGACGTAGAAGATTATAGAAGGCGTACCTGCTGAGGTAGGCAAGTGTCGTCATACCTTCATGAGGAAGGCAAAAGTGCGTCGTTAATGACAATACAGCATGACGGTGACGAAATGCCATCTACAATAAATTGGGTATCTGACAGGACACAGATTTGCTAATTTAGCAATTATGGGTCTATTTGTCAGCATGTTATATGATAAGGTTGCCAGATAGAGGTTAAAATTCTGAGCAGAATAAAATAGATACCAATTAAATAAGAAATATGTACCTTGAGATGAAAAAAATAAAATAAATATACCAAGGCGTATACTATCCGTATAACCTGACAAAACAAAGTCCCAAGGGTCAGTCTTCTACGGGCAAGAGGTGGCTGTAAATGGACCAGGAGCTGGAAATTAGATGCAGAAACCAGGATTGAATGTGCAAGGGGATGGGGGTATTGTTTTGCTGGAACAGCCGAGCGTTATTACAAGAAAAAGCTGGAGTTGTGAGTGAGTGGGTGCAGATTCCTACGTTACAGGTTTCTGATGGAGAAAATGCTGGAAGTATTCAAGACACGAGCTCATACAACGCAATGCTGAGTAATATTATGCAGTACGCATATAGCGAATGTACGCACGGCCCTGCTTACTAAGGTGGACGAAGCGAGCATTTTGGCAGATCAGTTTCCCATTTCTGTCACAACGAAATGTTTCTAGAAAGATGTTGTGAACGACGATCAATACGAAGAAGGTGCTGCTGCAATGAGGTGGGACAGCTTTAGGCTAATTGGCCTACGCACGACATGGGCATAGAAATACAGAAGAGCACGAACTTTACTTTGGCTGTAAACGAATTGTTTGATCTAGATAACGGGTCCAGCAGACACTTTGATGGGTGACGCTGACTGGCTAGAAGAAGCAGCAGATTGCGATGATGTGTACATTCAGCCTGACGGAAACCCACTAAGGAAGACTAATTGGGGAAAGTGACACTACAGTTTACGGCTTGCGGTATTCAGCAAAGGGTTCAATATACATTCTGCACCAGGGCTTGCTCATACTATTATCTCATACGGGCGTCTGGACAACAAAGGCTACGTACTCACGTTTTGAGATGGCTATCACTTGCTGGCCTCTACGGATGGAAATTATGCCATATTTGATGTAAAGCTCATACAAAATGTGCTGGTTGTGAATGCAAGTGTGAATGCGCCAACAGATAAGCCCACAGGCGTACTTTACACCACAGGAGTGGAGATTTTACAGCTCATGAAGATTTAGCACAAAACTGCTTACTTCTTAAAACTTACCGGAGATGGGGACATTTCGCGTACAACACGGTGAATTTTTAGTGAACGATCCGATGTCTGACATCGTGCTGACCGACCACAAGCGAAATAAATAGTTTACGTGTGGCGAGAGGAAGCAGAGTAAGGGTGCGCAGTCCAAGAAATACACCGGAAAATACTCGCCCATCGACCGCGTTGGTGAGGTCATTTGTCCCGATCTGAAGAAGCCTATGACCCCGAGAGATCGACTTAAGAAGTATATGGTAAGCTGTGAACCATAAGCCGAACTAGTATCGTGTCTTTCGTCGCGAGGATCAAGGGCGCGGCTTCAAAAACGTTTGAGCTTTCTTTTGGGGTTTGTGAGAAGAAATTTGATTGCAGGGCCACAACGGAGAGAGCAAGGCCACACAATCCAACTGGTTACAGGAAGTACTTCGAGTACACCAAGTCTCTTAAGATCAGCGTGGAGTAGCTCCAATGTGAGTTTCCAATGCGTGGAAACGCATAGATGGATGCCTTGGTTGAGTAATGGAAACGATGCATTAAACAGTCACCCTTGGCTAAGTCGCCACTTTTGGAGGTAGATGTATGTAGACAAGTGCAGATGTCGCCATCGTGCTACGATTGTTGTATCCATCTTTTTTTCCCAACTCGATTTTATACTTGGAATTTGTATTCCATCTCGTTTTTTGTCGTGCAATAATGGACAAGTTTTCGTACCCCGAGTATTACAACTTCCCACCCTTTTTCACACTGCAGCCCGTGCGTGCTACTCGAGAGAAGCAACTTGTTCTATGGCAACAACTTGTGCTTGAATATCATCGTGCATGTGATGTCCCAATCTTTCAGCCTTTAGCCTCACCACTTTTTGAGAATGTGAAAATCTCACGTAACATGGCGCAAGACGGACGATTGGCGGTAGTGGAACATTTGATTCGTTGTGGTCATGGACGATGGGAAGACGATACAAGGACACGTTGTCGTCTGATGTGGAAGAAACCAGTGGAATGGGCAGCTGATCTCTATGACTTTGTAAGACGGAGAGGTGTTTTTGACTGTACTGAAATGATTGCATTCTTAGTGATGATTATTATGTCTTGATATGCTGCAATCATTGTAGGCCAAAGAGCATGGTATGCTTGGCAACGTATTTACGGTCTACGAACTATATGCAGGGGAGGAGACGTTGGGCACGAGTAAGACGGACATAATGTACAAAGAAGAGAGATGGACCGATTTAACGTGGGCTTGTGTGTAAGGTATTCACGGAATGGAGCCGTGGCTACTGCGTGAGGCACTTAACGTGCTAGAAGGGCAAGGAAAAGTACGTAGTGGTTGTTTTATGGAAAGAGTTCAAGGGCCTTGCTCACTCACTCACGCTGCATGCGTTTGATGGCAGGCGGCATTGATTGCTGGTGATACATGCGAGGAAGACGGTGTCAAGTTTCTTGCTACGGAATAACAAAGCAATTGGGCACAGAAGAAAGCTCTTGTTGATGTCGTGTAACGATAATATAAAGCGACGAGGATTTGCATTCTAACTGCATCGTGGAAAACGTGGATGCCATCAAGGTCTTTTCACTCTTCGTCTCAGCACTGCGACACGTAGAGCCATACCGCGAAAATAGCGGAGAAAAGCCTCTCGCAACGGCCGTGCTTCTGAACTTTTGGGGGACTATTTGATACCATAATTTGCTGTTTGACCGTTGCTGATGCTTCGCGAACACTAACGGTGAGAGCAATGTATTTGACACCGTTAACATGTTATGTAAATTTTGTTCTGTTGTCGCTCCTGTCTCAGCGAGCGACAAGTACCGAACGTTGAAGCTTGAGCCGATGTTGAAGTGTTGAGGTGATGTTCAAGCTGTTCACGTCGCAGCGCGCTTGTACTCGAATTGTAGAGCTCATTAATGAAAAAGATGGCTCTTGGTTTTGAGAAATTGACAGAGAAGATGAAGCACTCGTCGAAGGAAGAGCACTCGGACGACAGAGAAAGCGGTAGTCACGGACACCACGAAGGCAAGACAGAAGCTCCTGTCAGCCCTGTACTAATTGATCGACCTGGTGCCTCTGACACGAGCAAACTCGATGGAAAAGGATTACAAGTCACTATAGTCGCAAGCCACTGGTACGGGAAGGTGGTTCACTCGCTTGTGGATGCATGCTCGAAAGAGCTACTGGCGAAAGGGGTAGAGGAAGATTCTCTACACCTCGTGGAGGTCGCGGGTGCGTTCGAGTTACCTTTCGCGGCTGCTCGCCTGATCGACTGCAAGGATAAGAGCCGCCGGCCGGACGCCGTGATCTGCATTGGGTGTATGGTTCAAGACTCTACGCACATGTGCGAGATGATGAGTCAAGCCGTGGCACACGGAATCATGCAATTGAATGTGACGTCGGATACGCCCGTCATTTTTGGCGTGCTCAGCTGTGCCAGCGAGTCGCAAGCTCAGTCGTGTACGAAGATGCAATCATGCTGCGGTATCGACGAGAGCCACAAGTGCAACCACGGCGTGTCGTGGGCACAGTCGGCTTTGCAAATGGCACATCTAAAGCGTTGTAGCTCGGCAAAGGAGATGGAGCGTTGCTGCTGCACACGCTGCGTAGGCCGTGGCAGTGGCAGTGGAAAGAGTGGTGAGCGTAAGTCCGAGAAGCACGAGTCTAGCAAGCACGAATCGTGTGCGTCTTGCAAGTCATCGCCAGACGATTGCTCGTGCAAGGACTGCAAATGCTTTCCGTGCTGCGCTAAGCGCGAGGCGTGTCGTGGTTGCGGCTGCCCACCAGACAAGTGCTCATGCCATGAATGTGATTGCTCTGCTGGTAGCACCAAGAAGACGGGAGCTGTAAAGGCGTTGTCAAGTGAGCATGGTACTAAGCAGGAGGCCATGAAAAACTTGTCAACCGAGCGCGCCGGTCATGAGGAAAGTTCGTCAAAAAGTGATCGAAGCTCGGTCAGATGTGTCCGTTGTGGCAGCCAAGTAGACGACTGCAAGTGTGGTTTGTTGCATTAACTGTTGATGATGAACTACGGCGAAGCGCGAGAAGAACTGATGTGTCCAAGAGAGAAGAGAAAACAAGGGAAGAGGATGGAAGGACTAACGTTGGTAAGTTTCGTGTAGTGGTAACCATGGCGTTCGGAGTAGCCAAAAATTAAGAGGAGTAGCAAGAAATAAGAGACGTCATGTTTGTTGTCATGTCTGAATTGGCAACAGCAGCTAAGTGACTGTAGCTAAGTGAATGGACTGACGTTCAGCAAGAAATAACCGAGTCAAAACATGTTTGATCTTGCCTTCTTGTCTCTTGATCGACTCAAACGCTTTTCTTCATGTCGATCAGATGAATCGAAAATCTAAAGCTACTCTTTCTCTGGTACCGTTGCTCGAGAAATGATGTTTGCGTCGCATATGGGAGTGACGTACGCGACATGGACCAAAGAATGCCCTGCAAGCATGTCCATGAAACCTCATTTTTCGAAACAATGGCGATAGGAACGACCACAAGTGTGAAGCACAATCTGCAAGCGCAGCAGGTGGAGAGTGTGGCCGAGAGGCACGACACTGGGGATCAACACAGTGGAGGAGATGAAGTGAGGGAGACTGGGAGCAATGCTGATGAACACGCGTCTAAGAAGCACCAAAGTCACAACTCGTGTAAAACTTGCGGGTCCCTGGCCGACAAATGTTCGTGCAAGGAATGTGAATGTCAAGTATGCAGCAACAAGATTCACGGTGGGGAACACATTGAGCCAGCAATCAAGTCGGCAACGTCTTCGGCGATCGTGTGCGGTGGTGACTGTATTCGTGCTTCTCAACGTGCTGCGGCCGGAGGATGTCCAGGATGTGAATGCCCTGCCGGTGGTTGTCCTTGCACCAAGTGCAGTTGCCCCCTTTGCGGCCCCCACCAAAAAGCTTTCGATTCAACACCCTGTCGTGGTTCGAACGAAGCTAGAAAGCGCGCAATAGCAGGAAATTGTCCTGCATGTGGCTGTCCTGCAGGACATTGCCCTTGTACGGGCTGCATATGTCCAATCTGCAAGTCGTTGTAAGCTGCTTGTCAAGATGGACAAAGTGATGTCGTTGTTGTAGTAGGTTTTAAAGAGGTCGAATCATCTATGAAATGAACAGCTACAGAAGATGAACGTAGTGATTATCATTGAAACTTGGTAAGCATTTAGTCCCTAGGGACTCTGTCCTATACATGTAGAGCCTACCAAGTTCAAGGACTGCTGGTCTCCTAGTCACATATGTGACGAGACAGAATGTCCCACCAGATGTAGCCATCTGTCGACGAGCCTGTACTTGATCCCATAATGACAGCATCGACTCATTCGTTCACATCGACTCTTTTCAATCACTTTTCTCTATTATTTCTCCCAACGTCACTCTCGTATTTGCACGCCATTACGCACTTCTCATGATGACGTTACCACCGGAAGAGGAGATGACGTCGCCTCCATCATCTCCAACTAATTCCATGGCTTTAATCGTAAAAGATGACGATGAACCAGTCACTTTAAATGCCCGTGACTCTGATCTGGAACTGCATTTATTGCAGACGTTTGTAGCTGCTACAAGTCAACAGCTCGTACAATCGTATCGCAGTCTCAAGCACGTGTCTCGAGTGACGCACTTGATAGCAACCATGACAGAGAGTTTAATGTCCCGTTCAGGGCTTGTAGCACTTGTGCAACTTCTTTTTCATCAGTATATGAGACTTGGTCATCCGTTGGTCCAACAGGTGGACGAAGCCATGGGCAAACGCGTCATTGATGCAGTTGTAAGTATCTTGATGCTATCAGAGCAGCAACCAGTCCACCAAAGTGGTATTCTAGCCTTAGAAGTTGATCCAGATAACAACAACAAGAAGAAGAAGAAGGATACGCAAGTGCACGAGGAACTGTCAGCGGTCACCAAATTGTCGTACGAGGAACGATTTCAGGCTCTGTTGCTGGGTCAAGTGCCACGGATGGAGCAGGTACTGGTCCAAGCACGTCTTGAAGCACTGGAGGAAGCAGCTAGACAAGACCCACAACCTGTTGTCATGGAGCTCAAGGATTTTGTACCTGTGGATGAAGTGACTCGACTCAAGGAGGAGAGCAAGGAACAGCTACATGAAGCAGCAATGGAAGCAGCTCGCTTACGCTCACAGATGATGGAGCTCACAGAGGAGAAACAGAAACTCGAGCAACGATTGACGGACGTGTTCAATTACCAGGAAAGTGAGCGGGGTCAACGTTTTCAGAAGATGGAAGAGGACTTGGCACGCACGAAACTCGAGGCTAGTCAGAAAGCCTATGACTTTGCTAAGCTCGAATTGTTCGTCAATGAACTAAAGCGGAAAAAACACAAGAAGAGAAGCAAGAGCCACAAAGGTGGCGACAATGAGTCCAACACATCGGAGAGTGCACCACCATCTTCCGTAGCCGAAAAAAGGTCTGACAAGGGACACGAAGGAAAGCGTAGCAGACGGAGCAGCAATGCCGCAGCCTAAGGAGCAGCCGTATGCAACAAGTGCATGCATGATGCATCAACTTCTTTGACTCAATTAGCAGTGAGCTGATGATATCGAGATACCAACACTATCACCCACACCGTGGGTTTTTTACCGTCATAATCACCTCCATGTCCTCTTCTGCTGTCTTGGAATTCTTTCTTGTCGTCTAACTGGAAATCCCGACAACCCCAAACGCTTTAATAGCACCAGCATTTCCATCTTGCAGTGACAAGTCATGGCCCCCTTTGCCCATGTCGTCCTCTCCTTCATGGATCACAAGACTACGACCAATGATCGAGTGAGGGCCAATGAGTTTTACGAGTTTCTCTTCCATGTGCACCTTTGCACTGCCGTCTTCTCCCACAATCACATTGCCTAATGATCCAACGCGACGTTCCTCGTCTTCGGGGGCTCCGTGGTTCTTTCCAAATGGGTTAAACACACCACCAGGTTGCAACACGTCCCCGTAAACGTTCACGTGCAGTGCGTGTTTACCAGGTGAGAGTCCCTTCAGTTCCCCCGTAATCACACTCTTGGCATCCTCATGAGATTGTGTAATCACCAACGACCCGTAAACTGTCGCGTCATTGCCGTAGAGAGTACAAACTGCCTTGGCCATAATGTCTCGTGTAGATTATTTCAACGTTTTCTGACTGACTGCGAAGCTCTTAGAACCAGTAATTGAGCCCAGTCACCCACTTTCTTGTCAAAAAACCCGAAACAAATCTCTGGGTTTATCACACATAAAACCCATGATGGAGTTTATTCAAGACTCATCGCTCTTGCTTCATAGTGCATGCGTGTAGCGATGCCGCAAGAATTGACCGTACAAGCGAGTCATCCAATGGATATGTAAAGGACACCCAGCTTTCTTATGCAGATGATCACAGTATAATGAAGTTGTGAATGGCGTGTGCAGATACATGTTCAGTGGATCGCATCATACAGAAAAGCTTAGCTACGAAGCAAAACATCACAGTATTTTGAAGAACCTGTGCATAGCACAACTAATGCTGCATAAAACTTGTTCCGCAGCGTGTCAGATCTTGTAAATGTCTTGCATAGCTTCGAGTGCGCAGCGTACCTGTACTGATCTGGCTTTGATTTAGTCGGAATCGGACGAGTCGCTGCTGCTGCTGCTGCTGCTACTAGAATCTGAATCGGAAGAGCTGCCACTGCTGCTGCTGCTACTACTCGAGTCCGAATCCGAGCCGCTGCTGTTAGCCGCAGCCTTCGCTTGCTCCATGATCATCTTTGGTGCGTTCTTTAGATACTCGCGCAAGTCCGTCGTCAAACCACCAAGGCCAATAGATGTGAAGAAATTGATAGCAAAGCGAGTGTTCCGGGGGTTATCTGTCGGAAAAAGACCAGCAAACGTAGGCTGCATGATCTTATCCAGAAAACGCTCTTTGAGCGTCTTCATGCCGAGGTGCTCCGACAGCTCCTGGCACAAAATCTTGATAAAAATACGGCTGGACGACGTGGTCTCTTCTTCGTTCAAATTGATATACTCGAATACAGTCCAGGGCAGAGCGTCTGTAAACAGTAGGTGAGCGAAAAGCTTTGCCACGTTGCGAAGTTTGTTGGTCTCGAGACGGTGAATCAAAGAGTACTGTTCGGCAAAGCATTCGTCAAATGCATCCTGGTATTCGCGCTTGATCAGACAGAACCGCTCGCTTAGCAGTCCATAGTATCGCAAGTACGTTCGCTCCTGACTGCAACACTCGATAAGCATCGAACAGATCTCTTTCTCCTGTCCTGGGCGAATATTAAGCTTCATCATTTTGTGCGCACACTCTTCATGTGAGATACTAGACATGATAGTCAGGTAGATCGTACGACGTAGATTCACAAGGTCCTGCTCCGTGTAGTCCTGAATGGCCATATTATTGTCAGTGGCCACTAATTGTTCAACTTCATTATCATCGTCGTCGTCCTCCTCTCCCTCATCGTCACTTCCACTGCCCGAATCCGAGTCCGCTTCACCTAAAATCTCCTTCCTAATAGTCGTCCACATTTGATCATTCTTTTCATAGTCTGGATCAAACCGAAAGACATCGAGTTTATCCTCACAATCAATCTGTTCTTCAAGTGTCGTTTCGTGTGTAATCTGGTCTCCTGACTCGACGAGATCCAATTGTTCATGTACAGCAGGATAATCGGCAAAGCCACCTTTGCGAATAGCAAAAAGTCCTTCAATTGTATACTGTACACGTTTATCAATTTCTCCTTCATGAAGAATTCCACGAAAACGTTCAAATATTGCACGAAGTCCTTCTGGACACAATTCAGCTAGAATTTGACCACATTCTTTTGTAAAATTCACTGCCACTTCCACCGAATCGTCGGTTGGATTGGCCAACAATAACGTAAGGACTTCAAGTGCCAATAACTCATGAACCACCTGTTGATTTACTAAATGTGCAATAAATCGCACCAGTGCAATGGCAACGACTTTATCTCGTCGTTGAAATGCTCGACGAAAGCGAAAAACCACTCGTTTAACGAGCAATTCGCCATTTTCAGGCATTTTAGTGTTTAAAACGGCCACAAGAGCCGCGTAAATGTGCGTAAATCCTGGCGATGCCAATTGTGCCTTCATAATAGCTCTCACTAATAATCCACGAGCTCGTACAAGATTTTCATGGAAAAGTTCGGGTAAAATATGACGTAAATTCGTCACATTTACTTTATTAATGAGCCCATTGAGACTTTTACGTAAAGCATCCCAGGTCCGACGTTGTGTTACTTCAGACGCCACGTCACAGTTTTTTTCTGCGTTTTGTTGCAATTGGGCCAATTTAAATGGGGGAAGATAAATCCCACCTGTGCGGCCACTTAAGTACGCGTCCCTTGACACCATCTGTTTTTTTCGACCTTTTTCCTGTTCGAGTGATGACGTCGTCACGTCATCAGCTGTTGTATTATGACGAGGCGACGTCACGTGACGAGCCACACGGACGTCCTTTTGTTCCGTTCGACGCGATTTCTTCCGGCGGGGCGACATGGAGCGAGAAGAGGAGGAACCCGAGGAAGAAGTGGATGCATGACTACGTCCACGTCGTCGACGATTACGAGAATGTCGTGAACGGGAGCGAGAACGTGAACGAGATGGACGGCGAGTCATTAAGCGGTGGCTAGGATTGGTTGGAAGCTCGAGATATTCGTTTTCGGATAAATTACGAAGACTATTGTAGTATTTGCGATATTTTACTTAGACTATGTACGAAATATATATGAAAGTCCTAACAAAATACAAAACTACATAACTAGCCGCTTGCACTATCTGTGGTACAAATAGGGTCAGTTTACGTGCACCAGAAGCTAAAAAAGGTAACAAGTGGCTTGTCAACTTAACCAAGTACTTGTTGGGTCATGGAATGTTGTAGTTGACCACGTCATGGTCCAGTTTCTTGCTCGTGGTGCTGTGGTATCAACTGTACAACGGTTGTTCTTGCAATTACCAATCGCATTGACCTTTCGCTCCGTCATTTGGAAGTAGCGACAGTTCCAATGGTTTTTACGAATCGCGTCAAGTAGACAATCGGACTTTTCTTTTAACGATTCTTTGCGCTTTACCGTCCTAGTCCATCGCCGCTTCGATTGTTCCTCAACCTGTTCGATTATTGACGTCGTAACGATCGACTACACTTTCCCAGTCGCTGACGTGCTTACCGACGTGCAAACGCTTACATTATCATATTTGGTGTTGTACGAGATCGATAACGATATCTCTAGTTTCTTTTGGAAACAATCATTTTCCAAACAGCCAACAATGCATGCTATTCCAACATCAAAAAGAGTACTCTGACATTGCTTGTACCCTCCTCCTCCTCCTCTCCTACTTTTTACAATAGCCATTCTTCTCTGAATAGCGTGTAAGGCAGACAACGTGTTTATAAGCTAGAAAAGTCTCATGTAATTCACCATTTTCAAAAAAGTGAGATATCTCGAAATAGGCGACATTGATGATCCACTGTAATGATAATCGACATCTACAATACTAAAGCTACTGTCATGATTATTTCATCGGGAAAGCTAATCATGTAGCTTTGAGAAAGCCTTATGAAGGGTGAAACAGTACAGTACAATCAATAGCAGATGGCATGCAATCGGTTGTCCATCAACCTTATGACAATGCATTAGAAAAGACAAAGCCATAACAAGTCGTAGGGTTGAATCGATCATGTGATGTGCATTGAAAGCACGCTTACAAATGCATGTCACCTTCCTCCTGTGTGAGCCCCATAGGTATGTCGTTCTTGCATCACCTTTGCAAGAATGCCAGTAATCAAAGATGGTAAGCAGACACCTCTTTAGTATTGTTTTCAATGCTCCAGATTGAATGTCAAGATGTCCAACGGAAAAACTCATGAACATTGAGACCTGACGTAGCATGTCCTTCATGACCCCTTTCAGGTTCGTATAATCGCTACCCGTTTCGTGCGTTCGACTCGAAGATGCAGTCCAAAGTACCGGTCTCTCGCCTTGAATGTCGATGCCTTAGCACCAACAAAGAAAAAAACAGAATGCTCCGAGGATTTGGAGTGGTCAAAGCTGATGTTGTGGCCATTCATGCTGATTCGTATCACGGGCAGTCCGGGCTGGGACACATTGGCTACTCGGTGAAAAGACGGACGGTCAATATTTCAACTGCTCCTTCGTTTGCGATCAACCCTTGTGACTCCATGATGTGATCCAACGTTATGCTCAATCATACAAGCATAACTTTGCAGCAGAGACTGTGGTTATGACTCATGGGATAAGAGCCGAGCAAAACAATGTCTATTGACTGATAGCAACGTCATGGTCAACAAATGCTTGTCATGCATGCATTCAAATCGCTGGATTGTTTACACCTGACGCGATCGAGCTCAAAACGTCCACTCCAGCTGCTAGCTGAGACAGCTTCATGTGCCTGGCTGTCCGAACCAGCTTTTGATAACGGGTCGTTCGAATGACCATAACCGAATTCTCATTCTCATTGTCGAGCAATCCAGAACAATGATGGCCAGTGGAAGAAACTTTGACCGCATCTCCACTCCATTCAGTGACGCTGTGATTGGCAACGTGCTCACTCGTTCTTCAGGTCCCAACTGCTATGTCACGAAATCAAGCTGCAATACTGCAGTGGGGTCTTCACTGCAGCAACAACCTTTGTACAATCCCTCATCGAATACGACGCTGCCTCCGTTAAGAAATTATTCATCGCTGTCGCAATCCACGACAAGTACGGCTGCAATGACTGAACGTTTCTTGACTACAAAGCTTCAAAATCACGCTATCCCAATACCACCAGCTCGGAGTTTTTCGTTACCTCCCAATGTCCAAAGCTCCTCGTATTCGCAGACATCTAGTGGATTTGCACCATCGGATTCACCTGAAAGAACCGTTTCAGCCTCAGTCGCGACCATGTCAATGAACCGTGCAGGAAATGTAGCTACGAAACACCAGAGAAAATGTTGGGCAAACATGAAATCGGAAACATGCCGTGAACAATGTCGAACCAACCAAGCACGATATCGTCAGAAACAGCGTGAATACGTGTCAAAGCTTGAGGCAACCGTAGCACAACTACGAGAAGAGATTCCAATGCTTGAGGTGCAGCGTCGACGATTTCGGTACGATTCACGGCAACGGGTATGGGACGTTGTTGTCGAGTACTTTCAACTCTTTCGCCACGGAGTTGAGGGCGACGGTTTTGAGCAAGGATTGACACATACAAGTGACTTTTTCCGTGCAACAGAAGCTCAGCAACAGGTGATGTTTCTGCGATCAACCATGGCACCGAACATTAAGTTTGGTAATGCAAGAGGGGTGGCGGTCTTCATGACGTACTGGCGGCAAATGTCCGAGTACCATGAAGATCTGCATTTCAAACTAACGCATATGGAAAAAGTGTCGGAAAGCATCGTCATTGCTACGGCTATTCTGAGTGTGACAATCACGAAAACTACGCTCGAGTTTGTCTTTCCTCACCTCATGAGGTCCAATAACGTAGAGGATTTATCTCTGGCAGTGAGGTTGCTCGGTCACAAGGTAGACTACCCGTGCTCAGTGATGTTTGTCTGGGATGAAGAAACTAGTCTCGTGATACGAATGGAGACCGATATTGACATGACATCGCCGTTCCTTAAAATTCTACGCAATCTCAAGGATACCTCCCGTGTAATTGAAGGAGCCGTCATGGCTCCAGCCTCCTCATTAAAGTTATATTGACATGGCTAGACGGCTTGTAAATGAGAGCACAGATGCAGCGTCGTGCATCTACAGGTAGATAGATACTAGGCAACTAAATGCGCTTTCATCATTCCTCACATATAAACACCTTCAGGCCATATATCACTTGCTATATGTCTCTCTTGTTGCTGCTGCTCCGTTGGCAAAAGTTCGTGTTATCATGCCACTAACACCGCTCTCGTCTATCGACAATACTCCAGCCGGGTGGTGCACATCCACACAACTTGAGCTGGTGTCAGCAAGAAGATGCCACATGCTTCCAAAATGGTAGCAAGCTGTTCCATGGCAACTGCACTCTCGCCTGTTGATGCAACAGACTGATCGTCAAGAGCCTTGCAAATCTCACACAGGCGTGGTGCAGGCATCTCCAAAAGGTGGCATACCTCCCGTGTGAGTTGGAAGTACGACCGAGGTAGTGCCTTTGATGATCCGGCCGCGAATATGGCTGTAAGGGACTTTACGTCCTCAATAATATTGGCGCTTCCCCATACTGCTCAGATGAGTCCCCTCCGTCGAGGCAGGATTGTAGAACGCATCAAACAAAGCGCTATCGAGTGCCGTCGCTAGTGGCTTCCAAAAAACGGACGAGCACTCGGGCAAAAGCAGTTTACGCGCGCACGACAGTACATTGCTGATGAGCGTGTAGCAGCCTGCCAATTCGGAAGACACTGTGTACATGATGGACAGGGAGTCATTGGTTGCATCGTCGTCGCAGATGGTGATCCAGAACGGGCTACATGCATAACATGGACGAGCACAAGCACATGAGTCAGACATGTTAGACGTGGCTGACCAACCAAGCTAAACGTTATACAGCCTTCTCACCTCAAGCGGTAAGCCTCCATATCACGCTCTACTGCTTGCATTAGCGCATCCTTGCCACCTTCCAGCAGCGTCGTAGCCAGAGATTTAAGCTCCAAAATCTGCCGTTCATAGATCGTGTGCGAGAACAAAAGTGTCTCAGAATCGTCTTGCTCTTCCTCCAGATCGTACTTCGGACTGTTTTCGTTGGCGTCCGCAACAACAGCTGGAAGTGCACTATCCACTGAAAGGGCTGGAGCATATTGTTTCTTAACCTTGTCGTTGGTCTCTGCACGGTGAAAAAAACTCTTCATCGTCTTCGATCCGACCGAGTATGCTGCAGAAAGAGCGGCAGTGGGTCCAATCATGGCACCTGGTCCAGAAAGCGCTTGTCGAACCGCCGTCGCTTCCTCTGTGGCTAGCACGGCAGCTGAAGCACGTACAAAAAGTTGCTTGGAGTAGGCCATGTGCATTTGGAGTACTTGAGCTCGAGTCGTCTCCGATCGCGCAATCTTTCTTGAAAGCTCTAAAAAGACACTACTTTGTTCCCATGCCACCAACGTATGTGCTACATGCTGCAGTGCATTTGCCACTACAAACAGCTCTCCCCAAACAAGCAGGGTCTTTGCGTCTCCAATCTTCTTGGTCACGGCACTGATCAATCGGCGCCCGCGAGCGTCGCACACCTGTCCAAATCGTCGCAAAAGCGGCAGATGCACCTGCATCACGTATAAGTACCGGTGCTCCTCTGTTTCCATAAGGGCGAACCGCTGAGAGAGAAAATCAAGCAAAGCTACAAATTGAAGCGCTACTGGGGCAATACGCTCGGTGTCGTGCTCGGGTGCAGAGCGCCCCACGTGTCCGTATACGTCGACTTCCAGCTGCCACACTGAATCCTTTTTTTCATGAGGGAAACCATATTCCGACTCGTCGTTGAGCGATTCCGCTCCGAGGATTGATGACAGCATACGGTGCGCGTACTCGACATCAGCGTTTGTCCAGGTAAATAGAACGTCATTGTTCGATGTAAAAACATCAATACAACGTGGGTATGCACAACGATCTGTACTTGCCCAAGAACCGTAGCCAATGTCTTCGTCAATAGCCTGCTCAAAGAGTAGAATTTCGTCCAACGTATGGCACAACAGCGCTGGATGCTGCAACACAAAAGTCTAGTTATAGCAAGTACGTTGTGAACCCCACAAGAAGTATCATCTTCGTACCGTCAACAATGTAGGCAAGTCCTGCGTAATCTTACGACTGGCAGCTTTGACAAGTCCACGCAGCAAGAGAATCTGTGCATCACAGCAATGAATCTCTTCACGGTGTCGATGTAACTCGGGAGTGAGTGCATGAGCCAGAAACCGCGTGTGGGCACTAGTTTGTTCCTGCACGTGACTCAAATACCACTCCGGCTTAGTCAGCCGGTTCGTCACACTTTCAGCTCGTTCAAAGTGGTAGCGGAAGCGCAGCAGCAGCGGTTCCAAAACACAGTCCATTGCCCACAGATCCGTTGTCATGGATTTAGGATGCGTCAGTTGACTAAGTTGCAATATCAGCAAATACTCGAAAGCTTTCGATACTTGACGCAGTTCGATCTCCTAAGACAAAAACAGTCACAACAACGTTAAAACTCAAGAAATATCACTTTAAAAGTCTCTTTTCTCAACCTTGTTGAGTCAATTCTTGTTGTGTCGTCAATGGCTCGGGCCATCCGACCTTTTCCAGTGCCACTTGCAGCTTCTCTACAGCAAAACGATGTAAATCCACTGAAAGCTCTTCAACTCGATGAATGGCTTCATTCTAATAACAAAAGTAGCCACAAATTAGAGACAAAACCACAAGTAAAAGTTAGTTTTTGGTCCTTTTGGACCGCATTTACTGCCTTTTTGAGCTGCAATAAAACTTACTCGAAGGACGGCAAATTCCACTGGAATTGTAGCCACAAAAGCTGTAAAATCTTGAAATGCTCTTAAACTGTCGGGCGTGGCGTCCTTGACTTGATCTTTAACTTTTTGACTTAATTTTTCCACTTGGACTGCTGTATCGAGATACTTTGTGCGACTATAGAGAGTCTGAAGCTTACATATGCCTGGACGAATGATGCTCTCTAACTGTAGAAAGTGCTGCTCGGCAACGGCAAGATGAGGAGAAAGTGACTGGAGTTCATTATAAATTAGTAAAACATCGTCATGCTCTTTAAATGTAAATGTGCTCGAAGTCGTCCTGGCTACATCCAGTGCCGTCGTGAGCTCTTTCAGCTTCTTCTGTGTACGCTGATGCAGTTTTACAAGTACCAAAGAGATCACAGACCAGTCGACGTCTTGTTCCGATACATTGGCAGGCACGGAGGCCAGCAGATTCGAGCTCAGGATCGAGAATTGAGACGCTGCCATCGGCTATAAGAGGAATGTCGAGTTTTAGTGTTAAAAATGCAGGCATCGAAACGTTTTACGTAAAGTATGATGTACAATAGTTTTGAGTAATTACGGTACGTTCTTAAGTGGTCGTCCAATTGGGCCCAACCATCCCTTTTTGGTAGTCGAGGGTTTACACAAATGGCCCGTCTCCATTTGAAAAAAACCTCGTCCTTGGCGTCCAATCGGTTGCTCAATGGAAGAAGGGTATCTCTCCTAATGTATAAATAACGAAGGAGAAGGCGATTTGCTCACTGATTGAGCACAATGGTGGTGCATACTACGATCAAGTCGATGTGACAAGAAAGCGTGTTGCCTTGCAACCAGCTACGAGTACTTATATTTGTTGGTGTCCGTTAGCATTCTATTGACGGGCAAATTGTGATATGTTTAGGTTGATTAGGATAGCAATTAAGCGGAATACCAGTGCCAGCGTCAATATGACACTTTGTTTGCGAGCTGTAGTTGCTCGTACGGCAATTGCTGCTGTAGGCATTTTGGCAACGATAACGAATGAGCAGGGCCGGTTGCGCGTGAATTAACCTAATTGAGTTGTCCTTCACATTCGGGTCTAAACATACATATTACAATGTAAGTCATCGCATGTGCATTCTTCGTTTTACCAAAACGAGATATGTTGTCGTCAGACCGCACGCACTTCGCATTTGTTTACAAGCTTGTGTTGAATGGTTGTACAACCATTCAACACAAAAGTATTCCAATCAATGCATCACAAGGCGGCTCGAACGAGGAAAAAGCTCCTTCATTAGGAGTTCCCAAGATGGGCACATATAAATCAATACAGCAGAATATGTGAGGACATGATTCAGAAAGAGAAGACAAAGGTCGTTTGTAAATTCGTGATCTCGTTTTGAAGCAAAAAAGTGGGTGAGGCAGGCATAAAATGTGCTTGTGAATAGAACCTTGACCGAGGACAGTAACACCTTAAAAGGCTCTTTTTGCTGTAGATTGCTGCTGCTTGCATCATGTTTAGTAGCTGTTCTCGACTCTAGGTCAAGTTGTGAGTCGATACACCAACCCGCGATGACCCACCTGCTGATTTCACAGCCTCGACTAAAGGACGTGGGTTCAAGTTGTTACAACTGATAGTGAGTCATTCTGATAGCACATGGCAGTACCTACTTGTAAAATGGACAACCGAAACGAGTTATGGTGGGCTTGCTACTGCAGTGATCCTACACATAATCCCTCCGCTTTAAATTTCTCACCAGCGCACTCGTGTCCCGAGGTCGAGTAGCTGGTTATAAAACTCTGTGTAGGTTCAAGCACCTGATTAACACGGGACCCAAAGCATTCTCGAACCTATTTCACCAAGTCAACCACTACCAAAGCTAAAAAAAACAACGACGCCCCCTCCTCGTCGAGCGTGATAACCCATTAAAGCGATAGTCTCGATGCACAGTGGCGGTCGAGATTTCAGCTCTCGATCATCATCTGCAAAAAAATGACTAGTCCAACGTTCAATTTCCAATCTAAACGCTCTCAAGCCACTCCAGCGAGCAATGACTACCGGGTGACTCAAGGTGGCCCAGAACATGTGGCCGTTGTAAACCTCTATCAATGTGGTGCGGTTTCGAGGTAGCAGCAACGGTTTATCCAGCGAGTGACGCAATTATTGTTTGATTTCGACGGGTCAGGCTTCGGCTACCACATACGCCGATCGACTTATCGAAACGAAGCAAGTTAAGAGGCTGCGCCGAGTTAAAGCGAGCTGTTGTGTAGCAACGTATCCGAGGTACGAAGCACTGACGGCAATCACAGGAAGATGCATTCGACGCAACGGACGATTTCGCACCTTAGCACATTGTTGCTGTCTATTTTAGCACTCGCGATGTTGATCGCCATCTTAAAGCAAACCTGCTTCGACAAACTTACGTCAGATAAATACCATAGTTTATTTGCACAATGTGCACGATTAGATAGATCGAGTTGTTCGAGCTCTACAGCCTTGAAGACTTATACCTATCTACCCACCATTTTACACTCAAGCAGGCGGCGCTACCTTTGATGTATGGGGGACGCTGACCCGGTCCAGTGCCGGATGACGAGCCACCTGTTCGGCACCAAGCCGATTATGTGGATCTACCTGCAGCATACAGGACAGCAGATTGATGACGGGTCTGGAGATAAGTTTCTCCAAGCCCCAGAGCTCTAGAATCTTGGCCACGCCGTACTTGTTAAGTACCCGCAGCGTCGGCGCGTAACGTCCCTCGTCAACAAAGAGTGGGGATCCCGTTAACAAAATGAAGAGCAGTACTCCGAGTGACCACATGTCCGCCTTCTTGGGATCGTACACAGCTCCCTGGGTCATCTCTGGAGCCATGTAGTAGTACTTGCCCACGACGTCCGACGACAATTTGTTTGCATCGGTACTCAGCCCAAAGTCGCATATTTTCACTTGACCGTCTTTAAGCAGGATATTCTCCAGAGACAAGTCTCGATGGGCCACGCCAAGTGCGTGAAGAAAAGTTAGGCCCCTGGCAAGTTGAGAAAAGAGCGTAAGTGCTTCAGTCTCGGTTACGCGACGATCTGGTTTAGTCGCCACGTAGTCGTAAAGGTCTCCACCTGCACAGAACTCCATCGCGATAAAGACATTGTCACCAGATGAGAAGTAACCTTCACGCATGTATTGCACCACAAAATTGCGGCCAGGAGCACGTGCCGTTAAAGGGTCTTCCAACAGCTGCACGACGATACGTTCACTCAACGGATTTTCCCTAATGATCGAATGTTGACTCTGCTGCTGCAAAAGGGGGACGCTCACACGCTTGAGCACCACGAGCTTTTTACCCAAATCCTCAACTTGGTACAGTGCTATTTCTCCGTGCAAAGTGGATGACAACTTTTTGCACAATGTGTAGCGAGTCAAACCGTCCGTGAAAATGTCAATGGGCACGATTGCAGATGCAGCGATTACAAGTGGAGCGTGAATCATGATGAAAAGAACTGAAATTGACGGTGCAATCGCTTTTATTGCAGAGCACAATGCCAACAAAGTGGAGGCTTGAGAAATGTGCAGACTTGTAGATAGAGAGGAAAATGGCAAGTGAAGACTTTTGGTTCGTACGTCTGATCGAGACCGTTTATTGAAAAGCTAGTTGAACGTTATATTGCGTGCCGGAAGCTGTATGAAACCTGTCTATGATAATACGCTAAAGTGGAGAAAGTATCGACAGGAACGGTTTCTTAGAGGTAGGTAAGCTAGTAGAAACCGTTCTTGAGAAGTGTGATAGCAAGATCGCAAGCGAGAGGTATGTGATTATAGAGTTAACTAACTACCCATCAGCTCCGTCACATAAAATTCGGGTCGGGGCGCCATTGCGAACCGCAACTCGACTACCGGACCAAGAGGTCATAGAGAAGTGCTATTTGCTATAAGCTGAAGCCAACGAACAGGGAATCGTTTCGAAAGTGCCAGCCGTGGTTTCATGCATTAAATTCGACAGACGTTACACCTCACTCAGAGACTTTTAATTCTGATATGAGAGCAATAGTAAATACTCACTGTAATACGCCTTGTATAAGTTATAGCTATATAGATATTATATAATATTATACCCTGTCGCAACATATACAGCTGAAGTTTCTTACGCAAATAGCGTTAAGTCAATTTACAACGACTCTTCGGCATTGTATCTATCTGTAAGGCACTTATATGGTACAGCAACAGCCTCAGCTCGTATATGTAAATCGCTTTTACCTCAGTGTGACGAGGTGCTCGTAATACCAAGCTCTTTGGCTGAGGTTAAAGGAGACATTCGGCATGAAACGTCTTTGTTATGAGCCGCCGGACCAGTTTGATGACAATAATTACATCGACCGCAAACAATCGCAGACCAAGATATTGGTCTCATCCAGAACTTCAAATTCAATGCTGATGAAATCGACACGAAGCGCTTGCTGACATCAGCGACTCCAAATGGCGGTGCATTTGGCGGATCAGACGACTACTCAATTCAGAGCCTTCTAACGTGTCTCGGGTTCTTGATCTCGATCGACTCAACGCGTGTGCTCCATCGGATTAGTAAATACTCGGCGGGTCTGCATGGGCAAATGAGAGTTTATATTTATATCATCGTCAAGAGAACGCAGCACAACCCGCACGATCCAATGGAACCACGCAACAATGCAAGCTTCCACGTGACAACAAGCGGCATTACGCTTGATGGCAGCTGTGTGTGGCGCACGGACGCTGCATTCAAATCAAATGTTAGCATGCTGTCCGAACACGACCACTACTCAATGCTGTCCATTCGACTTCTGTCCGTGCTCGCCGCAGTTGTAAGCAACTAATACATAAAGGCTCACTGCATCACTCACAGGCGTTAGTGTTACTGCCAGCGCGACGAAACCACAGGTGCAACAAACTTGCGCAAATTTATCGTCAAGCTGCTGACATGCAGTATCACTCCAACGTGTTTGAGTTGGCCGGGCGTGAGTACTGCAATTCCCTTCGAATACGTAATAGACGCTGATGCAAACCAGCCTGGGTGTGACTAGTTTTGTTACAACATTCCTGCCCAGCATAGACAACAACCAACCACTTCGATGAGACTGAGACAGTCAAAAAGAGCAAGTACCTCCTACGACGCCTTAAGTACCTTTGAAAGGGATGCAACTCTTGTCCCTTCCTACCACCATTCGATCCAGCGCTCGCAATTGTTCGATCTCGGAACCTGTACCCGAGCACACCCGCAAGATCGTTTATTATTCGACATCCGAATGTATCTGTCGTCACCGCAATTGATAAAGGCGTAACCAATTGTTCTCCGCTTGCCAATGCACCACTTGACGCACGTTCAATCACTCTCGAGAGGACGAGTTTGGTACTGTAAGGTTAGCTCAGCTAAGCTTCCGAAGTCCTTCAAATAACGAAAGGAGACGGTGTCTTTGCACAGAAGTGCAACTTTCCCGCTTCGAACTTGATTTGACGACGACGAGGTTGTCCGTCTTGAAGGAGTAACAGATCTGTTGGAAGCAGACGAGAAAAAATTTGACTTGTGAAAAGCAAAAGCATCGCACAGCACCCCGTGCTTGTGTGCCTTGCCGATAGAACGTCAGATCGCCGTTCCTTGCTTGTGTACAGAAAGCTCAGCTTTTGCCTTTGACCACGCCACGGGTGAACAGTACAAGTAGAGTAACGCTGTTCGCGTAGCACTGGCCATACGACGACCCACAATGAAGCATGTCAACTTTTGTACAACAACAACAAACGCGTCTTCCGTAGCAGCTTAATGCAAGATCTAAAGAAGACCCTTGTAACATTCCAGAATCAAGTGGTCTAAGAGCCTACTTTGAAGCTACAGATACCTATTGACCTCTACATATACCTAACAGCATGAGTGCTTCCAGCTTCTTCCTTTAATCTTAAAACATCCTTGCCCGTGATCAGAGAATGGATAGGCCTCGAAGAGCGATGACGAGTTTTGCGTTTTGAGGTCTTGTCATACATATGGCATCTATGTTGATCAGCCTGCGGTATATCCGCAGCAAATCAACAGTAGGCAAGGCTGGTCGTCGTAAGTGACGAAGCTACAGTCCCGCAGAAGACGATAGACAGAGTGAATTGCAGTGCGATTGAAATACTGAACTATCCGTCCTATCAGAACCGTACATTGTCAACGAAGCGGCGATTTCCAAGCACCGTTACTGCTGACGTGGAGCTGTCAATGACTCTATAATAGGGAGCAAAAAGCAAAGCCTCACTTGGTTCACAGTCGACAGGACGATCAAGCTGGATAGGCAGGCACTCGGCGGAGGTCTGGGACCAATTTATGACACGCTCCTACGGTAAAAGATGCCTTACCTCCAAAACGGACACCACCTGGCATGATGTTTTGTGTTACCGGATGGCAGCATGTCGCCTCTTTGCAGAGCTCCTTTAGATGGGAAGAGAAGAAGGAGACGCTCTCGTTTATTGGAGGCCAAAGGCACAACTCGATTGTGTTTTCATTTCAATTTTGTGCTGTTCGTACCAAGGACGAAAGTAGTTCTGCTAAGTATCAAAATGGAGCTGTTTGCCGGGTTTAACGCAGAGGATCTCGCTATGATGCAGGAGCTGTTGCGACTTTTGGTGGAAGACGACGACGTACTGACTCAGCAGCCGACGCCGTGCACGAGTACATCACAGAATACTCAGACTCTGGTGTTTGATGGACTCACCAGAGCATCTCCCAAGCCAGCAAGTGGAAGGGCCGTGGACGCCTTTGACAACTATTACTCGGGGGGCATGAGCGGCCCGAACGGCATGACGTGGAATGCGCCGCCTGTCATGATAGCCCACACGCCTCAGTTTGCCACGAAGACGTCTGGAACTCGGACTAGAAGCAATTTTGCCAGCGAAGATGAGCCAATGCTCAAACGCGGTCGCGCGGATGTTGCGTCGACGATGAGGACGCCCATGAACTGTATTCCGGTTCGCGAGGGCGGGTACCTTTACTATTAGCAAAGCAAATTATTAGCCGAGCTTTTATGCCGGTCTGTCGCGGGTCGAACGCGCAGATCGAGCTCAGGTGCACGTATTTAATCGCGATGAATGCAATTGTCAACATCGCTGTTGTCTTTGTTTACGATGTTGTCTCGACCATATTTGCATGGGAGCCAGCTCTAAACGACATCACGAAAGTCAGAACACGAGCACTGGAATACATCATCACTTTTATGGAGTTGCTGGCACCTTTCTAGCAACATGGTGGCATGGTCAACCGTCTCGCGACGGGTGCTCGTGTCACCGGCCACCAATCTGCTTTTCTCAGTCTTGACGTGCAATATCGAGTTCAGTGGGGTGTCAAGGCAAATGAGACCAATTAGTGATTGGATCCATGTCCTGACAGAACGGGAACTTTAGCAAGTCGCGCTGCTTCTATTTGACATTAGACGAGGCGTTGCACGTAGCTTCTGTCGGAGCAATTAATGGTATGATACGATATCCGCTTACAGTGCACGACAAAGCATTACTCTTTTATACATCTGACGGGCCCACATCGTCATCCGCAACACCGTCTCCACTATGATGCACGACGGAGAGAAACAGTTGTTATAGCGAATTTCTCTCTTGGAGCGAGAGCAATGTCAAACAAGCTCTTATCATTTCATATCAGCATGTGCAACACTTCTCAACTCAGTCTACATTCCCTATCTCTTAGCAAGATCGAACATTAGAGAAAGAGAGGCAGACGAGTCTATCTAACCATTTAGGGATTGCAAGATGTATGGTACGATCAAAGCCTGGTTAGCATTGTCGTGCTCGATCGAGTCCAATGATTGTACGAAGCGTGCGGTGACCTTTTCGGGATTGTCCGGCTATGCTGATGCAGCAGACGTGCACTGTTGTTTATATCCTTATAGGCCGCTCACAGGGCCCGATTATCTGTAGTGTGCGGTCGCAGGAGCAATGGCGCGTGTCATGGGGTGTATCCCCTTTATGACCGCTTGCGTGGTTCACTGAGCTAACTTGTGCCCTTGCCGAAGCAATGGATGTTACAAAGGAAGCAAGGAGTTTTTCACATATTGACAGAGGTCTTACGGATGAGCAATACGATCCTGATGGCTAATCTGAGGTATCATGTGGTTCATTCTACTGACTGGTTTACCATTTGCTGTCGCTTGCTTCACCATCCGTGAAAAGCTTCGAAGCTGTGTTTTGAGTCGTCGTGCTGTTAAAAATAGATGCTTTCAAATTGGTCCTTATCTGCTGATTTACCCATTTTTTCTCACGTGAAAGCTAACATGTAGAAAGCCGTAATCTATCTGCGTGATAAATTACGGTATACGATATGTATACACTGACGAGTTTTATCGTCGTCTGAAGGGATTTGATGCACCTCAACTTGAAGTTATTCAATGCACCAATCACAGACCTCTCAGATACTTAACGCTTCGGTTACTTCAACTACAATTTCCTTCATTTTTCAATTTGCCGACTCTTAAGCACACGGTCTGCAACTTGACGATGTTTCGGACCATTTTAACTCGGACACAGCGTCGAGTGGCTCGATCCGCCATGACGACAACAACTCGTCGATGGAATAGTTTACAAGCCAATGCTACTCCATCAAATGAGATGCTGCCCATGCCACTTACAGTCTTAACAGACGACGAGAAGATGTTTCAAGACTCTGTAATTCGATTCGCTGCTGACGTAATCGAACCAAAAGTTCGTAGCATGGACGAGATGGGAGAGATGACCCCTCAAGTCATTCAAGGTCTTTTTGACAATGGAGTACGTCTGATACTTATCAGATTCTATGACCTTAAAACCGTCTCTTTTTAATCACTTTATGGTCTTTTGTGCTCAGTTGTTATCAGTGCAGATCCCAATGGAATATGGAGGTGTTGGAGCATCCTTTATGAGTCTTATCCTGACGATTGAAGAGCTGTCACGTGTCGATGCAAGTGTGGGACTCCTATGTGATTTACAGAACACGGTCGTGAGCAATGTCTTTTGGCGTTATGCTACAGAGGAACAACGTCAGCAGTATCTCCCTCGACTCTGTAGTGACACAATAGGCAGTTTCTGTCTCACGGAAGCTGAAGCTGGAAGTGACGCCTTTTCGCTCAAGACAAAAGCTGATGTCTCGGACGATAGCAGTTATTATGTGCTCAATGGAGAGAAAATGTGGATCTCGAACGTCGCACACGCTGATGTTTTCCTTGTCATGGCGACCGTCGACTCGTCCTTAGGCTACAAAGGCATTACTTGTTTTATTGTCGAACGAGACACACCCGGTCTTTCATTTGGACCTCCTGAAAAGAAACTTGGACTCAATGCATCGTCCACGTGCTCTGTCATCCTTGAGGATGTCAAGATACCGCGTGAAAATGTCTTGGGAGACGTTGGACAGGGCTATGCGATCGCCATTGGACAGCTAAATGAAGGCCGTATTGGCATTGCAGCTCAACAGCTCGGAATCGCTGAAGGTGCTTATCGTCATGCAATGCCGTATCTCTTTCAACGAAAACAATTTGGTCGTGCTATTGGTGACTTCCAGGCAGTGCAGCATCAGTATGCGGAAATAGCAGTGGAGCTTGCAAGCGCTCGTCTACTTGTCTATAATGCTGCTCGACTCAAAGACGCCGGTCATGAGTTTGTTCAAGCTTCTTGTATGGCCAAACTGCACGCGTCGCGTGTGGCTGAGCGAACTGCCTCGCGATGCATCGAGTTGCTGGGCGGCGTGGGGTTTTCCAAACAGCTCATGGCTGAGAAGTTTTATCGAGACTGCAAGGTTGGCACCATTTATGGCGGCACGAGCAATGTGCAGCTCAGCACCATCGCCCGACTGATAAAGCGGGAGCTTGTCTAAGATTCGGCTAGCATTTTGCTGTGCGAAACACGCAGTCTTCTACGTGAATCACTAGTCAAATACCTGCTGCAAATGCTTCGTGCTTGTCGTTATGATCTTGGCCTTACCTCATAAAAATCTTGAAGTAGAAAACCAATATGCATCAATGCCCATTCAGTAGCTATTTAAACATCATTACAAAGCGCAAGCACACATTCGACCTTGGCGATCGACGTGCCAACCTGCCGGTAAATTGGAGAGCAAGGCACGAATTCACGCTGGAAGTTTTGGTAGTATTCACTTATCAATTACATACAGTATACGCAACTCTTTTACAATTTAATGTATAGGAAAAAAACTCGTCCCAATGCGAGCTTAGTCGTATCAATTACACGTAACGGCTTATATAAACAAAGGGTGGACCAGCACTTGATCGAGTGAAATCCGTCGATGCGGATCAATTTGAAGCATCTTTTCCAATAGTAAAATGGTATTTTTCGAAATACGGTTCGAGTGACCCCACGATTCAAAAATGACGCCCACACCATATTGAACCACAGCCTCAAAGCCTTTTACGGATGGGGAGGCAAGTGACAGTAGTGGTGAACCAGTGAGTAGAATGAACCACATGATACCTAGCGACCACACATCGGCCAGCAAAGGGTCGTATCGCTCCCCTGCGACAACCTCTGGTGCCATGTAAAACTCTTTGCCCACTTGACAACCGTCACAAATGCGTCGTGCATCCGTGGAGAGTCCAAAGTCTGTGATCTTGCATACTCCATGGCTTAGCAGTACATTTTCAAGAGACATGTCCCGATGGGCAACGCCTAGAGTTTTGTGTAAATAGTGAACACCTGCTAGTACTTGTTGCATCAATGGCAATACTTCATCTTCTTCTAGAAATTTTGATGCATTGAGTCGTTCTGTTACAAGTGCATGCAAGTCTCCACCTCCACAAAGTTCATTTACGAGGTATAATGTTCCATCGTGAACAAAGTGGAAGTAAGACTGTACTACATTGGGATGACCTCCTTTAGCTATAAGTAAAGCTGCAACCCGTTGCTCTTGTACAGGGTTATCAATCTCTCGAGCTGCATGGATTTGGTTCCGACGTTCAGCTGCTCGAGAAAGTGAAATGCACTTGACTGCAACGGGATCGTCGTGTCCGGGTAGATCACACTCGAGGACTTCACCGTATAACGCAACACTGAGTTGGCGACGAACCTTAAGAAGCTGAGGAGTCGCCATGTAGGAAGAGTTGATGAGTTTTTAATGTCAAGTCGGACTTCTGTTCTGGTCGGCTTTTTACTTTATGCCGTCAGTTTCATTGGGACGTGAGAACTGGTGGAAGGAGAAGGACGTGGAGCCGGAATTCTTTCCAAGGCCGACCATTTTAAGATCTCTCGTGCATATAAGCTCCTACTTAAACTGTGATCTCTCATAATTCTTGAAATCACTATACTAGCATAACTCAGATTATACTCTCAGAAGACTCTGAAAAATAATATCTCCTTAGTAATTATAATTTGGATTAGCAACCAAAACCAATAGCAGGCGTTACATTTTTCGTCCGACACAGGTCGACTCTCCGCTTCGGTATTGTTCTTTCTCGATAGAAGAACCTTCTATTGCATTGGTTCAAGATCATCGACAAACGTCGCAAAAAAAGTGGAAACTGCCCCGTATCATATTAATTTTACGTGCAGTTACGTAAATCTTCGCCACAATTAGGTACAATTTAGGTAAATCCTACCCTTTTCTTAAGTTCGATTTAGCAATCAATTTCTCCATCACAAGACCCGATGGCTCTAATACGTCGACTTGTGCCCTCCTCTCGCTCCGTGCAGATCGCGACATGGCAGTTGTCTGCTATCTCTAGCACTCGTCAAGATAATCCGTTTTCTGGCTTATTCCAGTCGCAGCGTCTGGCAGCTCGTGCCTTTCATGGGTCAGCACAGCGCGAAAACGCGGCACTGATCGGTGGTTTGGGCGTGGCCGGGGCCGCACTTAGCGCTAAGTACGTGCTGCAGATATGGACCGCGTATAAGAACCGCCCCAAGAGTGAGAAAAAGACTTCCTGGAAGTACCGCAACTTCTATGACGGCCCGTTTGAAGAAAAGATGACGCGACGTGAAGCCGCGCTCATTTTGGGCGTGCGTGAGAGCGCGTCGGAGGAGCGGATTCGCAATGCACACCGCAAACTGTTGATACTGAACCATCCGGATACAGGCGGCTCGACGTTTCTCGCTACAAAGATTAATCAGGCAAAGGAGATGCTACTGAATGGTGGCAAGTAGGAGACAGGTACCTAAATTTTGTTGGTTTTAACACAAAAGCTCATTGTTTTGTCATATATAGTTTCCATTGATCGGGTCCAGTGACAAGATTCATGGACCAAGTCAGAACTAATGCTTGGCTATTCAATGGCTTTTACTTGACTAGAACCTGTTTACACTGACGCAAAGCATGATCTTAATCTCACTTACAAACTCATCGAGCGACGTGAATTTGCTGCATCGATGAAAGATATCGTTGGCAGGCAGAACGAACGTACGCATCGATTTGTTTTGTTGGTTTGCCACTAGTCGACCAGTAATGCTGCTTGGACTAGAGTCTGCTTGCTCTCTGCGTAATACCCCGTACAGCAAATAGCTTCACGCGTCCAACAAAAGACGAATAAAATGTGAATCCATTTGCTGTACGCCTTTGGTAGTAGCTACTTTGCAACAAATACAGACTCAGCAAGAAAGACAGAGTAACCCGTTGAACCATTCAATTATTCCTCTAGAAACTAATATGGATGCGAGCGATCCGTCTTTCATTTTCTGGAAGGCTGTGCTGTACGTCCCTTGAGACCAGTAATTAATTCCTTGTGTCATCTAAACAGGTTATTTGTGGACATAATCAACGTTTAAAGCTTCACTATATCGTCTTGAAGACAATTTCGTACCAATGTCCTAATATAATGTACAGCCAGCTTCAAGTTGAAGCTTCATCCCTTCTGACAACATATTAAGAGCCGTATAAACGAGGTATTCTATATCCTAGGTTTTCACGATAACCAAGCAATAAAGCTCCGACAATGGCAGCCGGGGCAGGGAACGCAAGTGTTCTGGGCGGCACCTCAAGCGGCGAGTTCATTTCAGTAGCTGGTCTTCGTGTAGACGGACGTCGTAGTGAAGAAGTTCGTCGTATCCGTACGCGCTTCGGTCTCTTCTCGCGTGTAGACGGCTCCTCGTACTACGAACAGGGCAATACAAAGGTCGTCGCAGTGGTCTACGGACCTCGTGAGCTGCGTACGGCAGCTGTGGCAAGCGGTGCAGTAGCTGTAGGGACGGGTTCAGGCAACGCTGCAAGTAACACGCAACCACGTGCTTCTGTGAACTGCGAGTTCACTCAAGCGGCATTTGCCACGTCGGAACGCAAACCACAACGCAGTGGCGACCGCAAGAAACTCGAGATGTCTCTGGCTGTAAAGCAGATCTTTGAAGCTTGTATCCAGACGCAGCTGTATCCACGTTCACAGATTGATATCTTTGTACAGGTGTTGCATGCCGATGGTGGAGAGCTCCCGGCCAGTATCAATGCCATTACATTGGCACTCATTGATGCAGGCATCGCACTTAATGATTTTGTCGTGGCGTCATCAGCTGGGTATTTGCAGCAGACAATGCTTTGTGGTAAGTTGATAGTGGTCACATTATTAGAGAGTGCAGTACTAACTAAATGCTGTTATTGTGGTAGATCTCAACTATGCAGAGGAGGTGGCAAGAGCGCCGCAGATGATCATTGCTTTGAACCCACGCACACAAAAGCTCAATCTATTGCAAATGGAGTGTAAATTACCACTGGAACTATTTGAAAGCCTCATGGAGGTCGCCACGGAGGGTTGCAACCAGATTTACGATTTATTGCAGAACGCAGTGCGAGAAAATACGTGGAAGCGTCTACGTCTGCGTGGCTCGGCAGTTGCATGACTGTATTCGATACCGATATTACTGAGCAGGCTAAGAGGAATAAAATACCAGCAACATTGTGGCGGGTCGTTTGAAATTAATCCTCAAATTTGTATACTCACGTTATGATCCAAAATGTTATTTTCAACCAATAAAATCCCGTCATAGTTTTCGCGGCAGTAGTTTGAATTTGACGCGCCAACGCAGTGGAGACTCAGTTCCCGAGCTTCCTCGTCGACAATGGATTGTTACTCTGCTTCTACCACTCGAAACGTGCTTATTGACTGCTCATCAGACGCAAAAGAAAACAAGGAACCCATTGATGCTCAAATTCCTACCAAATCCCTCGTTTCAGCGTTAAAAGCGTCTGTGAACGAGCAGCTCGTGCAACTTTCCAGTCCAAATGACTCTAGTAGTTGCAGACATCGTCGTGCACTCCACAAGATCGACAAAAGTTGTTCGAGACTTGAAAGACATTCGCCACAATGTATACTACCGAATCATTCCTCTCGTGTCTCCAAAGACCGAGTAGAAGCCAAGAAAACGCACAGCCAGATGACGACACTAAAAGAAGGTTCAAACGACACAACTCAAGCCGAAGAAACGCTATTGAAAGGCCACAAACACACTACAACTCCAGTAACTAATGAGTCAACGACTTTGATGGATTCTACCAGTCAATTGGAGCTCCAAGAGAGTGAGAACCTTGCTTGGATGGACATGATGCTAGCTCTTCTAGAGAAGCGGTACGACGCAAAATCCACGCTGCCCGTGTGTCTCACAGATCTCGAAGCGGACAATCCTTTCCAATTGCCTCAGCACAAAAAGATCAAGACGGAAATCCCCTCGATTCAAGCATCAGTGTACTCCAGAAGTAGCTTAGACGCCACTAGACTTCCATCTAGTGTCAGCAGTACCTCGAGTAAAATGGCAGTGACACAATTGGAGCAGATTCCGACGCGATCTGGTCACGAACAAGAGCAGACAAAAGAGGAAAAGCGACAGCGTCTACTGCTTCGGCATGCCCAGCAAATTCAAGCTTCGACTGTCGCTTCGTCCACAAGCTGTGGATGCAAGACTGGTTGTCTCAAGATGTATTGCATGTGCTTCAGCTCACGTGGATTCTGCCATACTGGATGTGCTTGTGACGACTGTAAGAATGGTCGCAAGAACCAAACTGAACGTGTGGAAGCCATCCAGAATTATTTAGCCAACGATCCACGTGCATTCTCGTTCTCGTCGCTGCTACAAGATGAAAACACGACGGGTTTTCTTCATCTTCTCCCGCAGGTTCGATGCCAATCTTGTTCTTCTTATTGAATGAACTGTGCCTGATACGAACGCTGTTCTTGTTCCGTGTTTGATTATAGAAATCCAGCTCGATTGTAATGCGTGGCTGTCGTTGCAAAAAGTCCAAGTGCTCAAAGAAATATTGCGAGTGTTTTCAGAACGGCATCGCCTGCACGTCACACTGCCGCTGCATGAATTGTTCCAATAGCGAGACGTCCCACTTGCAAAAGACTCCAGCTCACGGCAAGCGTGCTCAATATGAATCCACTAGGACTGCTACGTTTGGACTAAAGCCGTTTCATCCCGTACAAATTACTGTGACCAAGCAGCCTCGTCGAAACTACGTCGGTAAGACATTGCGCTTGAACCTGTAAGCTATCAGTGCAGTTTTAGTCCTAAAATACTACAAATTAGTCGTACACCACAAATAAATCTCTGTTTTTGACATGTGTCTAAAACATAGAATGGCCCGTCACAGAAACCGTCAAAAACAAATTGTTGCAGACGTCAACTATTCCGAGTGATGGCTTGTCGATGTACTTTCCTCTATATATTAATAACTGAAGAACATATGATAATCCGATTTCTTCGGCTGGTGGTAGTATGCATTCTACCATAGTAGAATGTATTCCTCCTGGTTTAGAGTCGGAGCTTGTACTTTACATAGAGAGTGTCCGACAAAACGAACCCATAGAAAGCTGTCCATATGACTATTAAGAAGAGTTTGAATGGACAGCAAATTGTACGCTCGCTTTATCGTGCTCCTAGTTAGTACCGTCGCATATAACACTATCGCATCTCTTTGGTAATGAATGACGAGTTGATACAAACTGTCAACGCATCAGATGCAGTGACGATCTCTACAGTAAAAAAAAGTCACAAACATCTTTCAAAGAAGCATTTGTCTGGATTTCTCCAGACGTAGAGCAACAAGTACATTATGTCCTGTCCAAAGGTTCTAGAAAAGTTTCAATTAGACATGCTAGTCGATCATTTCAAGCATTAGTACGAAGGGTATCAAAGCAGCAGCAGCAGCAATGTACATGTTTATTATTTAGCTAAAGATAACAAGAACTTGACATGATTCTTTCGAGTTTTCGTATGACATGGTCAAAGGTAGAACCTAAGAAAGGATGAAAGGGTTCATGCCTTTTCTTTAGGTACATCCATTGTGGATAGACGACTGATGCTGCCATTTGGTACTGGATTTGCTTTCAAGATGCACGATGGAACAATCCACAAAACCAGCTTTCGGGTAAAACATGTACATGCATCAACGGTAGACGAGCTCGTTGCAAAGGCTACACGTACTTTACCTCAACTTGACGCTACTTTGTCAAACACGCCGCGTCTGGCTCGCTCGTTGTCTTGAGGTGATGACGTCCATATATTGGGTCCGACGTCAAGATGCAAACCCTCCACTGCCATGTTGCAGTCAACTTTATTATTCTTGACCCCCCCCCCCCATGCCATTTAACTTATTCTTATATGTCTTACTTGCATTTCCACGGCGAGCGCACTCTTATTAATATGCACGCATCGCGCACGAAAACGTTTCTCTTCTTCAACAAATGTGTCAATGGTCAAACTGCAATGAGACTACGTTCATTATGAGCTGTAGCGAGCATAGCAGGATGCTCCAAGACTTCTCTCATACTTTTAAGTCGCTTGGCTGGATCCACCGTGAGCATTTTTGCAAGTAGATCCAAAGTAGCAGCCGAGAACAAGCAATCCATTCCCCACAATCTTAGCACTCCTCGACAACCGACAGTTTTCACGAGCTCAAATCCACGACACTCTGGAAAGGGTAGTCGCAGCAGTGGTGAACCTGTCAACAAGACAAAGAATACGGCACCCAATGACCACACGTCGGCACGAACGGGATCGTACCACATGCCACTTACAGCCTCGGGTGCTGTGTAATGCAGATTGGCCGACACTCGGTCACGACAGAGTTCTGTTATTCGAGTGGTACTGGCACCAAAGTTACAGATCTTGACATCTCCAGTGCTGCTGATGAGGATATTCTCGGGACACAAGTCACGGTGAGCGATGCCGCCCATATGTAGATACCGCATCCCTCTTGCAAGTTGTAGGACCCAACGACGCGCTTCTTGTTGCGAAACCCGTTGAGAAGGCTGAGGACCTAACGCACCTCTGCTAATCAAATGCGAAAGCAGGTCTCTGCCGGGGCAGTACTCCATAATCAAGCGAAACGACTCGCTTTCCACATTTGTCGTGTAGTAGCGAACGATATGGCGTCGGCCGTCCAAAACACTGCAGCCAGTACTGCTCCGAATGCTTCTTCGAACTGCCTCCTGTTCTAGCGCTACAAGTTTCTGAACCGTGCGCCATTCCTGCCAAGTACGATGACCCCCTCCGCCATTCCGGCCCGAGTCTAAAGTGAGCGCCCGGACTTTGACCGCTACGGTGAAAGAGCCCAATGCCGGTTTTTCTGTGCCGAAAGCGTCGGGTAACACCTCCATGGAACCCACGTAGACTTGTCTTGTCAGACGTCGTGTAAGTTCCACTCGAGTGGACGCCGACCCGGACGCTGTTCGAGGGCGTTTCGTGATTGACGACTCGGACGATCGCTGCTTTATTAGAGGGAATCGAGCAGCCATGAGGCCGTGCTACTAGCTTATTGATACACAATGACTGTGTGGCTGGGGGAAATAATGCCCTCGGAGCTGCTCGTCGCCGTTGGGAGACGTGTCGCCCTGAAGCTCAGTTCTCAAGTGAAGAGACCACTGCCGCGAGGTGCGATGAGAGAGGAAACGAGGCTTACGATCCCACGGCCACTGCTCCTTTGTGATAGAGTGAATGGATTGGGACTCAATGGCAGGCAGGCAGCGCCCAGCAGTGCATGGGCTCTATTTTGTTAGTCATTTTCTCACCTGCTGCAAGCAGCACGGCGCTTCTGCAGCTTTGAAAAGAGAGGTGTCATGGTCTTTTTTCTGACTGGGTAGACAAGAATGTGCAAAGGGAAGGCTACGAGGAAGCAGCTCTCGAGACTGCTCTACACTTGCTCCTTGAGGCTACAAAGACACCTCTGCACTTCCTTGAAGCTGCAAAGACACCTCTAAATAATTGCCCAGTTCCCAATCGAAACAGCGACTGAGAGGTGTGGAGACAGTAGTAGACCAACGTCCAGGAACGTGCATGAGAATTTTAGTGCTAGACTTGAACACTAGCATAGCATCGACCATTTGACTCAAGTGTTGTTGTCATTATGCACGATTTCTAAGGATTGATGGTGATAGTTCATCATTGCGATCGTGCAGTGTCTTCTTCTCCTCGTCTGATGAAACGATCGGACGTTGGGCATTGGAACGCAGTCTACTTCCAACCTCAAAGCATATCTCAACTCTTTAGGGTCAGGAAGTGAGCAGTTGTAGCTGAATAATAGTGAATCTGCATGCCAACGTACAAGTCGTACCCCCCCCCCCCCCTTCAAGACATTAAATGGAGCTTTGGGTCAAAGTCATTTCTCTCCGTGGATGAGCCATCAAGTCAACCAGCTAAACCTGATCGGAGATTTATTGATGCTGCTCTTGCTGCGACACTACGAGCAGTCGATCGACATAGTAGTGACGGCACGCTAGAGGTCTTTCCAATCCTGTTCCTCGTCACTGGCTAAACAGGTTGAGATCTCTGCGTTTTTTTCCGTGGCTCACTGCGATTTGCGACGTCGAACTGAGCACCGAGCCGGGGTGAGTTCAAGAAATCTACGAGCTTTGACTTCGTATCGTCATGGCACGACTGAATCGAGTGAATGGTTGTCCATTTACAAGCCGCCAAAGTGATTAGATGCCTAGCGATTCTGTCTTTGCGAGCAGCTTCGCGTCCTTGGTAAGACCAGGCCATTTTCACTGCTGCTTCTGCCAGTAGACTGCACCTCGTCGTCGGTTGCGGTCCTAGCACGTCCGCGAACTTCTTTTGTTAAACTCGGTCCACATAGTTCTCTAGCACTTAATGCAGCGTCGTAGCCAGTCGTGCCTTGTATGTCTTGGTCTTCTCGCTATTCGGACATGCCTTGTTGCTAGCCATCCATTGCAATCCCCGTCGTTGTGGCAACCAGCTTTTTCAGTTCAGGCGCTCTAGCTTCAATTGACACTTCGTGTAGAGTCAGGTAGTACTCGGTTGTGCATGTCCTAGCATTCGACAAGAACTGCAACTGCAAAGACAGAAGAGGAGATTTGCTTGTAGATGAGGCCAAACAATTCGACACTTGACTTACGAACAAGATTGCATGCACGTCACCATGGAGTGTAAACAAGTATGACTTGAAGTGCAACATGTTGTCTTCCTTTTGCACCGCTTAACATGCAGTAGCTACACATAGTGCTGGCTTTGCTCGACTTTGAGTCGAATCTCATCGACGATCACTGAGCTTCATTCGAGTTCGATTGCAAAGGTGTCAACATTGTGACCAGCAGGAGGCGCCGTCGTATCCATCAAGCATACGCTCTTCCTCGTCTTGCTAGTACCCCATCGCCTCTAATTAGCGAATGTGACGATAGCTGGATCACTTGCAACGCTCAAGCCATGCGATCGTCTCAATGTGAGGAGTGTGAGGAAGCATATCAACCGGCTGCAGATGCCGCACGCGGTAGGTGCCAAACTCTTTGACTTCAGGCTTCGCCTTGGCACAGAAAGCTTCGAGATCGAGAGCTTGTGAGTGCGGATTGCACGACACGTAGCAAACGTGGCGAGGTGCGATACGCCGCAGCATCTTGATGAGCTTTTTGTGCAGCCCTGCACGAGGAGGATCAACGATCACCATGTCCGGGAGATCAGAAGACACAAGATCCGAGCAGGCATTCACTTTCTTTTGAAGTTCCTCTTCCTGATAGTTCTTCGTCAAGTCGACGCAAAAGAACTGCATGTGGCTAGAAGAATACCCGTTCAACCGCGCATTAACTTTGGCGCGCTCGACAGCCGCATCCACGAGCTCAAACCCCACAACAGTCTTGGCATGCGCCCCCACACAAATGCCAATACTACCGACGCCGCAGAAGAGGTCCCATACCACAGGTTTTTCGGGAAGCGATTCCATCATGTGCTGGATTTCGCGGTAAAGAAGGCTAGCCTGAGCTGCGTTTGGCTGAAAAAATGAGTCAAAGGATATCTCAAAGTTGTGGTCCAGAATAGTGTCTACTAGATGTGAAGCGCCATAGAGAACGCGCTCGGTGGCAATGCCAACGGTGGGATCAATGGTTGCATTGTTTCTCTCGCGCCGATGACGTTGAGCTTCACGATCGAGACTTTCCACAATCGACACGAGCCGTGAATCATCGCCAATTTCCGCTAGATCGTTCTCGTATTCTTCAGCAATGCTATGCACGAGGCCCTTCAGGATCTCGCTTTGTTCTCCATCAAACGTCGTAGTGACAAGTCCCAGCATGATTTCAGTGCGATTGTCACGATTAACACCGCGACGCAACACAATTTGCTTGAGAAAACCTTCGTGTGTATGAAAGTCGTAAGCCTGTAGACCTGCACTCTCGCACCTTGTCACAACCTGCTGCAGCAATCGGTTACAAGCTGAAGTCTGCAGTAAACATTCTTTCAGCGACAAGATCCTGGAGTTCCAAACAGCACCACGACGTCGACGGGCTTTACTTTTGCCGTGAACTTGCTTGGATCGTCGAGCACTGACCGACGTTACAGGGAACATTCCAACCGTGAACGGATAGGAAGGCAAAGCTCCAGAGGAACAACCATCGTCTGGGAGCTTGTCCTCGTCCAACAACCAACGACCAGTACTGCAGGTGAACTCCATCTTGTTACGGTAATGGTATGTACCAGCATGGTCTCCATCAGTCTCAACACCTAAAATTTTACGGATTTCCATATCTGGAGAGTGTTTTCTTGAAGCGAAAAGCTGACGAATCCATTTCTGTTTCTCTACAAGTTGTTGAGCATACCTTACGTGTTGCAATTTACAACCACCACATCGACCAAAGTACTTGCTACATGGAGGATGTACTCGATGGTCACTGGGCTTTGAAACTTGACGAGATTGTCCAAAAAGCGGCCACGTGCTCTGGTTTTTCTGAGCAGCCCATTTGACTCGAGACTGAATGTCACGTTCCCAGATTTCAACCTCCAGCTCATCACCTGGAGCTGCAAATGGCACCATTACTTGCATCTGCACACCTTCCTCTGAAACATAAGTTCCAATTCCATCGCCGTGGTCATTTATCTTGTCAACTGACTGTAAATGATTGCAACAAATTTCGTTAGTAGACATACGAAAAAGGTGCAAACATTGCAGTACACACACCAGAGGTATGCAACGCTTGACTTTTTCCTCGGTCAAAAGTTTGGCTGGTATTGTGGATACCAAACGGTATGTACGTGCAGTCTTTTCAGAAAGAAGATGAGTCGTATATCGCTTTAATGGCAGCGCTAATGGTAGAAAGCAAACCATCTTCGTCAAGGAGCTTTACAGCCAATGAAGGCTATTAAATTACGGTAAGATATAATAGATTCGGGCATCGACTCGATTCTAGACGATAGATAGGAAGGAATAGCAGGAAGGTTACAGTAAATATATGACTCCAGTAGATCTGCCGTACAAGGCAAGAATTATCTTTAATGTAATGAAAAGTGCTGGAGCTTTGCGCTTTAAATGAGAATAGGATGCAATTTCATCTAATGTCTGCGAATGCAAGACCTCCTAGCCACAAAGTCGTGGACTTTAGTATTCTTTGTCTAAATGCCAGCACTTACTACCAAGTGTGGAGTTCTTGCCAACCTAAATCTGTCTTGTTAGCTCCCACCAAAGGGTCTAGAAATCTTAAAGGAACAGTGTGTCCACTGGAATTTGCGTTGGTAGGTCCTAGACTGTCAGGACAAGGTCAAATTGCTTGACTACATAGCAGAGAGACCACACCACAAGTAAAATCAATGAAGTCGTTTTCAGGAATCTTACTAGTAATCGACCCATGTCAAACCAGCAAGTGATCAGGAAATGGCGTACATTTCCTGACAACATTAGCATAAGACCTTTGTCGCCATCAAGTGACGTTTTTGGTCGTTTCAAGGCCCGACCTGGTCTTCTCGATATTCAAATTCACGACGTTGCATGAACCTCGTTCGACAACCGACATTGCTGACGATGCCACTTGCAATGTCCATGCCGTTTAGTCTACGAAATCTGCAAGGTTTCGATGGTCGATCGACCAGCGACCGTCGAGGTCGGCATTGTTACAGAAAAAAGCTGATGACGTTGAGAGGAAGTATGTCGGTTTCAGAGTGAGACAATCGAATGAATCGAGCATGCGTTAGAGTTTCTTAGCATATGAATCTCCTACTCGTCGGATTGGGGTCTTTGTTTGCGCTGGAAATTCTTCATCCTGTCGATCTACAAGTTTGTCGTAGGAAAGACACAACATTTTGTTAGGAGTGTTAGTACGGTTTCTTGAAAGCCACTGATGCTATTCACAAGACGATCAAGTGCCCAGGAAACAAGGTGCTACGCTACCCAATCGATTTCTTCCTGAAGCGCAACCTCAACACAATACGAGAGCTTCGCGACCTCTTGCTGAAGCATCTGAAACTCAACCTCGAGTGATTCCACGGAGCGTGTCTCGTATTCCTTGAGTTGAGCTTCGATCTGAAGCAAGCGACAGAGTTCCGATCGGGATTCTTGGAGCTGGCGTTGTTGATGATTAATGTCCATCTACACAACAAGTAAGTGTCTTGACGGTTTGTTTTGCTGGAAAAAAGAAGAGCTGGATGAACTTACGTCGGCACGCTTGATCCGCTGCAGTGAGGCTGTTAGCACTTTGGTTTTGTGGCGAAGACCTTCGCGCTCAGTAGCACATATCTCGTGCACAACTTTAGCAGTACGATTGCCAAGATCGATCGGTGATATACCTGGCGTTTTTGGTTCAAGTTCCTCAATCTTGTCTGCCACTGTCGGCAAAACAAGCGTGCTTGGGCTACATGCATTTCGAGACAAAGTGCACAACAGAACGAGTGGAAGACACTCTCGCATTAGCTGTGGATATTCCATCAATTGAATGGAAAGTCTTTGGAAGCAAGGTAGCCGTACAGTAACTGAAGGTGATGACGTTCACTTGGATCTTGCTTCTGGACTTGGAGCTTTTCTTCAAAGTCGTCTGGCTTCGACTCGGCGACAGTATCGTGAATACCAGCATCACTTGCTGATACAGGCACAAAGTCATTGTTGGAAGTATCCCGTTTGAAAACCTCCTGAATCTCTGGCGGTACGAGCAGGTTATTCACACTCATTTCAAAGTGATCGGTCGGTGGTGGATGCGAGGACATAGCAAGAGAGTATTATGAAAGTGACCTCCGAGAGGGATGGATGCAGTGATGACTCATTGAAACCTATGTCTGGGACTGAGGTCGGGACTTCTAACATTGTCGCAGTCTTGACTGGCCTACAATGGTTTGTCCCTACCGATTCGGCAGTTCAATCGGAATAGCACAACGGGCTTGGGAGAGTTAAAGCCCTTGATTATGTGCTTGCACATTTCATATTCAAACTTATGCGAGATGCGTAGTAGACAACGACTATCTTCATTCAAGTTGACTACAAAACTAGAAAGATTCGACGAGGGGATTCAGGAATACGGGTGATCAGTTTGAAGTACATTTGCTTTTTTTGCGAAGGTGGTTGCTCATCAATTCGACCTGTCAAGAAAAAACACGCAAACGTCGTCAGATCTAGTGAATACCAAGCCTAGTTCATCTAAAAAGCAGCGTGCTTCTACCCAGTCGAGTTCTTCTTTTGCAGCAACTTTTATCGTCTTCGTGAGACTAGCAGCTTCATTCTTACGCATTTCCAGCTCATCCTGGAGAGACTCGACGGATCGTTGTTGGTATTGGTTCCACTGTGATTCATATTCATGTAAGCGAGCCAGCTCTGCTTGAAGCTCCTGCAATTGCATCTTTTGGTGGCGTGATTGTTCCTGCAGACACAACAACATAGTTTTAAGCCACGGGTGAGCTTTGAATACATTAACCTGCAACAAGACGTACCTTTCTCCGCTTACGATATCGACGTGACGCCGTTTGCATTCGCAGCTTTCGTCGAAGCTCGTTAAATTCGGCCGAGTTCAATAAGTGCACGCGCTTACCCGTTGGCAACACATTTGAAATCGACGGCGATTTTTTTTGCTGACTAGGAACCGATGAACCATTCAGAATTGACGGTACTTCTGGAGCCGGAGATGCAACTGGAATTGGCAGAGACATTGGAACTCGCGGCAGGTCGATTTCAAAGGCAGGAGAAACCACTCGAGAGTCTTCATCGTACAACTGTTGGGTAGTAGCGTATCTGCATTCAAGTCGAGAACAGTAAACAAAGGCCTTAGCAACTAACGTCAGCATCTAATGACGAGACGCCCAAAAAATAACTTACGATGAATTGGAGGACATTGGCAACCTTATCGACGCTGCGTGAGCTAGCGGCATGAGCGAACTTGACCTTGGTTTATCCAGTGAACAGTTGTCAAGAAAAAAACGATGAGGTCGACAAGTTAGAACGTCTTTGCTATCATCAGCATTGAGTCTTGATGCTGCACGTAACAAGTCAAGCAACCAGTTTACAGAAGGGGGCTGCATACATTGAGTCTTGCATCTGTGTCTGCTGGGCGAGGCCTCCTGTTGAATCTATCCTTTGTTGCACTGCCTTCTGTCCTGCTACAGGAATGTCTTTGATACTTATGTCGTTGTTCTCGGACGATGTCTTATCAATTGCATAACCCCAGGCTTCTGCTGACCCGACGTCATCGGCACTGGACAAATTAACAATATGGTTCATCTCTTCGTTCAAAGGTTCATTGATACTGGAGCCGTACGCAAAGCTGCGATTGAACTCTGTCCCAACTGAACCGTGGCGATTGCTGTGATCGGTGGAGCTGCTTGTACTCGTTGAAATAGTGTGTTCTGGGCTATTGTTGGAACTATCTGTCGCCAAGAGATCCAAAATCTCCTGCATCATGAGCTGATCGCCCGTTCCTGGACCAAAGAGATCTCTTGGTTGTCGCCAAGACATGAGCGAGAAAAAAAGTGATTATAGTACTTACTTGCGCTGAAATATGAGACGCGAGAGCTCACGTGCATACCGTTGATCTACTGTGCACTCGAACAGAACCTACTGTCCCTGAGATTCTCAGGGCTAGTATCGTATCTCAGGCTGAGATACGCTTTGTCATCCAGAGAGGGCCTTGCTCAATATTCAAGTGAGCAACTCGTCCCAACTTGAAATTTTAATCGACGCGGGTTTTCGTCTGCCAGATGAGTAACCAATGTGATGACAACAGTGCAAGGCAGATCGCTTCATGACAGTCTTGTTTGTAGAGATCAACCGTGATACTATACGCTCAACGTGATCTGACATTTGCAACTTGATCGGCAGAGCATTCGAATGACGGTACAGGCGTATATACATTTCGTTGAAAAAGTGCTCAAGTTACACAGATCGATGTAAGTGAGCCGCTTCGCCAACACGTACGAGTGTACAGAGGGCACATGTAGCGCTTTTACCGACATGATACAATACCCAAAGTGATAGAATGCAACCTCTTTCTCTGGTACTTGAACGTCCTTTCATTCCTTTAGTACCCAAAAAGCGAGACAAGTTCAAAGGAACAGTCTGGATCGATCCAAACGTTTGCAGTTTAAAACCATTTGGTTCACTAAAACACCAAAACATCTCGCATTGATCAACTTTCTTCTGTCATTCCTTCCTTATGTCTACCTCATAAGTTTCTCTTTATCTCATCTGTGGAGGTGGAGGGGGTACTCCCATCATTGCCACTGGAGGTGGTGGATACGTGATTCCCATTCCTACATTCTGCGGTGGGGGTGGGGGGGAGGAGGAACCATTCCCATGTCCATCATGTACCCTCCTTGTCCAAATGGAGGTGGCATTCCTGTCATTGGTCCGTGTCCATTAAACGCAAACATTGTATGAGGTTTGAGTTTATTGGGGTTCCGCTGAGCCAACAATCGTTCCGCTTCGGATCCATGACGTTCATTGTGACTGTCTTTCTTGAAAGCAAATTGCACCACGACTTGACGATTGCATAGATACTGTCCATGCATGCACTCAATCGCTAAATCCGCTGCTTCGAACGCGTCAAAACTCACAAAACCAAATCCTCTCGAGACTTTTGTTTCGGGATCCCGCATGACTTTTGGGGTCTCAATAATCCCTCCAAATGCTGAAAACGTATCGTAGAGCAGCTTTTCATCGACTTCCGGGTCTAAATTCCCTAAAAAAAGGTTCGCCCCCACGTCTAAATTTTTTTTTCGCTCGATGCTTTTTTCACCCGAATCACTTTACCATATAATTGGACCATGTTTAACACTTTAACAGCATATTCGGCACATTCTTCGGACCGGAACTCCACAAACCCATAATTCTGATGACAGCCAGTGACTTTATCCCGTGGCATGTGTACATTCGAGACACTTCCAGCTTGAAGCATCAATTCCCATAGTAATTCCTCACTCACCCGATCGTCCAAGTTGCCCACATAGACCGTTGCGTCCTGATTACGTTGCTCAATCGCTGCCGACATTTGAAGAGCGACGAGTGATGAAAAATAGGGACCATTTCGTTTGAATGTTGCGCGAAGGTAGACATTCAGTCAGTTCGTCATCGATTAAGGGCAGTTACATTTGGACACGGACTCTGTATGATCCGTCATTACGGGACAAGACAGTTTGATCATGCGAAAGGGTGTCGTCATGTCGACAAGTATCTAGATGATGATGAGTTACAAGTTAATAGCTAGTGCATGACGGAGATGGGCCTGTATCAGATCGTCAATGTCAAGAATTCGAACAAGTCCTGAACCAGGATGTGATGTTCCAGTGGAATATCGTCATAACGACCGCTTCCGCAACCCGTTGGACGTGGAGTGTGCAATCATTTTTACATCGAATACTGTGTCAAGTGTCTTATATATTACACTTTTGTGTGGAAAGAATTCTACTGGAATTGACAGGGCCATCAGTCTCTCATACCAGAGGATCAATGGCCACGTCGTTGCACAATCATTCGGCTGTCTAATTGAATCCAGGTCAAGAAGCTATTTTGCTACTCGCTCTACCTTTACATTTGCTCGATAAAGTCGGATTTAAACCTTGTGTCCGCCTGATTCTGTGTGCGTGCTTGAGCGTGCAATCCCTTGCAGCTCTCATGTTGACGTAGTGACCATCTTTCGTTGACCAAGTCATTAGGACATGCAAGTTGCAGACTTTTTACTAAGTCGTGGGTTGCTTTGTCCGTGCAAATTCGTGTGCTGGAACGACCACAGTTGATGCTCCATATTTGCCATTACGTTCTTCGGAACCAATATCATGCTGAAAGTTTTGCAGACGGCAGCTCGACTCGATCGTAACCTTAGGACAGCAACAACCGTCACTGTCCTTTTGAATTAGAGCAGTGCAGACGTCCGCTTTACAGATGAGCTAGTATATATGGGTGAGCATGTAGGTCATTTTTCCGAAGGTTGACAAGCAAACTATGCTTTTAGGATTCGCTTGCTTTCTTGTCCTTGTTTCACCATATCACTTGTGTGACGACAGTATCAGTCCAAGAATGTCGCTAATGCTGAAGCTGCAGCAATTGCATTGCTGCTACATTATGGTTGCGTGAGTATAGCACTATTGTTGCATTTACTCACACAAATACGTGGTGAACGCAGCTTAAGAAGACCACACCGTCAAAGTTGGTTCGTTCGACTTGCAGTCCAACCGTGACAACACAAGAAAACGATCCGCGTACAAAGGAGACATCAATTTGCGGCATGTAGCAACCAGCTCATTGCCACTGTCAAACTCATCCATCTGCACTTTTTTAACTTTCGAAGCAAATCATAATAAGTCTCAAGGTCCTTCAAACCGAGGCCTCTTTCTGCTCATCACCCGCGCCGCTCAGCAGCAATGGCGTCATCTCGTCTTTCAAGGGGTTGCTCTGCTCCGAGTGTTTCGCGTGCCAGATCGTGACGACCAAAGCGATCATTGCTAGAACTACTAGCAAACCAATAATGTTGCCAGTCACACAGTCTGGAGCCATGTAACCCTTCACAACCTCGCCGTTTAGCTCGCCATTCACGTTGCAGCTGCCATTGAACGTGAGTTTCTCCAGGATCCCCAACTCCACCGTGGCAACGACCATTCCAATAATGGCCAGTCCAATTCCAATGTGGTACGGAGCAAAAGCAGCACGGGTATTTGTTGACGCTCCAGGATAGAAAAACACTACAAAGCTACCCAGCCACTGAAATACCACAAAAACAGGGAAGATCAGAAATATTCACTCCACTTCTGCAGATTGGCACGTACATTTGCAGTGAAGGTGATCAAAACTACAAGTCCCAACCAACTGTGCAGACTATAGAGGTTCGTAATCTTATGCTCGTTATGAAAACGGAAGACAGCAATAGCTCCTAGGACGGCGCTCAGGAACCCCAAAGCATGTAGTGACAAGTGGATGCGCTACATAAGTCAACTCAATTAGAGATCCCGTCATGTCACACAAGATTCTTCTCTTCTTCACTCTTCACTCTTCTCACCTTCTTGATTTCGTGACTATAGGGCAATGAAATGTACGCCAGAGCCGACTGCATGGAGCAAAACACAAAGCCAAAGCTCATGAGCAGTGGGTGCCAGTTAAACACCCGGCCGTCCCCATAACTCCACGAAAACCCAGAAGTATCTCGGACAGATACCAAGCCTTCCTTCACCGTAAAAGCAGTTAGTCCGCTTCCCATCCAGTATCCCATAAGCACCACGACCAGAACCGGTAGACTCTATTGAATGATAGTACATAATAGTGACGTTTTTTAGTGTCCTGATGTCAATTTTTAGCAATATTACGCAATCGACACTCCGTTGTATTTGCAAAGATCTTGCGCTTCAGCATAAATAGGTCATTCACACGTACATGTCCAAGAATACGCGTAACGAGCTCCATCTGAAACTTCATTCGAATATCGAGAAGCTTCTTGAGAAGAATTATTTTCGTCAATGATATCAGACAAAAGAATGTCTCTGATTGGCTGTTAGTGTGAACATACGCGCTGCAAAACCGGTATATCGTTTCGGTATATTTGTAAATTGTATTTAGGGAAATGTAGCCATTTGGACTTAAAAGACCTTTTATATTGGCATACACCGTGTATAAATTAATAATTGGGAGGTTACGTTGATGTAAAAAACACTATTTAGTAAATCGAAATTTCACAGCCTGTAAATTAATTGCTTCCGCTTCCGCTCCAAATTAAATATTACCAATTCATCCAATCGGCAATTATCAACCGCATCTCATTTTATCAAAACACGATTCCTTTCGATCAAAACACGATTCCTTTCGATCAAAACACGGTACCTCTTCTCCCAATACGCTACATTTTCAACACATTGTGTATTATATGTGCCATGGTAGTAACGGACTCTTCCGAGACAGTCCGTAACCAACGACGACAATTGGCCCATGCATTGCAAGCACTTCAAGTATACAATCCCGACTTTTCTTTAACCCCTGAAGTCCTAGAAATCATGCGTGCTATTTTTGCCGACCTACGACCGGATGAAGAAGGGACGATCACTCGTGGGGCACTTGCCGATGAGATTGCACGATTAGATCCGAGTATTGACTCCAAACGTCAGTTTATGCGACATGATAGGACAAGACGAGACGAACGACTTGATTTTCCTGCGTTTTGTGACTGGATCATGCAGTGGAAGGCACAAAATCCACAATCGGTACAAAATGTGTACACATCCTGGACGACCCAAATTGCAGCCGCCATGAGTGAAAGTGATAGTCTTTTTTTTAATCTTAAGTCCGAGGAGGAATTATCCAATGAAATGCTTACAATGGAAATCATTCAATTATTGCAGAGGCGACAGGTGACGCAGAGGTTGCACGAAGGTATTGACCACGACGAGAGTCTCAAATACGAAGACTGTGAGGCATCGATTACTGGCTATGGTATTCGTTCAGACGATCCATTTCAAGCAAATAGTACCAAGTTGAACCATGCCGATGCAGCAGATGCAGCAGCGAAGAAAGGATCCATGCAGACCGTGTCCAAGTCGTTCATTGCAGGAGGCATGGCGGGTATTGTAGCAAAGTCGACTTTGGCTCCATTGGATCGAATCAAAATTCTATTTCAAGTCAACGACCAGCGGAAATTTAGTTTTCGTAATGCTGCTAGGATGGCTAAAAATATTTACGTGCACGACGGCTTTCACGCTCTTTTCCGAGGGAATATGCTGAATATCTTGCGAGTGATTCCATATGCCGGGCTGCAGCACTCAGGGTTTGACTTTTTTCGGCATAAGTTCCACGCGTACAATTATCGAAATGCAGAGAGAGAAGGGAGTAATGAAGTACCGAAACTCAGTAATTTGCAGCTTGTGACGGCCGGGTCGCTGGCAGGAGGAGTTTCTTTGGTTTTGGCATACCCGCTGGATATTGTACGGGCGAGGTATATGGTGCAAATGGGGAAGCATCGCTACACTAGTATCTACGACGCTGTAGTCACGATGTACAAGGTGGACGGTATGCGGTCGTTTTCGCGCGGACTTGTACCGTCATTGATGGGCACGCTGCCGTATACTGGAATTGGTTTTTCCCTGAATGAGCGATTTAAGATATGGGTACGTGTACGAAACAATTTTGCGCTATTCACTACATGCGACTAATTGACGTTTGTGGATCGTAGACGCTCGAGTTTCAGCGTCGTCGGTTGAAACAAAATGGTGGCGAAAACGCACCCGAGCAAAGATTGAATGCGTTTACTAAATTTGTGTGCTCGTACTTTGCGGCATGTATCGCACAGACCAGTAAGTATAACTGCTGACAGCTGGTAATTCTGGATGGATTGACTGATACTGTTGTTGTTGTTGTAGGTACATATCCTCTGGATACCATTAGGAGGCGTATTCAGACGGACGGTTACGTATCAGGATCCCAGGCAAAATTGCAATATACGGGTGTAGCTGCTACTGCACGAATTATTCTGGCGCGTGAAGGCTGGCGGGGCCTGTTCAAGGGCGTGTCAGTAAACTGGATGCGGGTACGTCCTAGCTGTTGTTTGTGCTAACACCTTCGTGTAGATCACTAATTCTACTCACTTTCTTGTACCTGCGCAGAGCCCAGTATCAACCGGCATCAGCTTAACGACATACGATATTCTGAAGGAGGTAATGGGAGTTGAAAAGATAGAGTAATAGATAGTACGGTTATTCCTCGACCTGAAACATGCATCTGGTGTCTCGTTTCAATGATACTCTTCCAACATCGTCAAAGTTAGCTTAAGAGATGTTGGTACTTCGTTGGATTTGGATGTCAGACACAATTCCTATGCTTATAGTCCAGGAAAGCTACTCTCAGCTCGTTTAATCGGTATACGGCCACTTGCCAGCAAAATTGCTACCGAAAGTTTTTACCGCGAATGGCCGAGTATTCTGCTAGTAGCTCGTCGCAATTGCACACTTTTAAAGTCATGAATTTGTCCGAAAATGTCAATATTGGTCAGTTCCAGCATCCATTTTCCTCCCCCTGTAGTCTTGAAGCACAGCGTAGATTTACAAGTCACAAAGTCAATGGTGTTTGGTCGACAGCGATATCTCTTGTCTTGCAAGTCTCCTGAAAGAAGACAGTCATAAAAATCGTACCGCTGGTGAGGTAGTACTGTGGATCAAATTCGAGTGTAAGTGAGTTACAGGTCCAACCTTCACAGGCCAGCGCTCATAACACACACCTTTGTAAGGAGATAACTCAGGGTTCCAGTTCATATACAGGCTTACAAAATACCGCTTCACTGATTCAAAGTCGATCCAAAACAACCCGTCATCTTGTCGCTCCTCAGCTTCGGCATCCTCAGCTGCGTAAAACTGTCGCTGCCCCCCCTTTTTTTTTTTTTTTTTTAAACCCCCCCCCCCCCCCCCTCCCAAATTTTCTTTTTTTCCCTTGTTTGGTTACAAAAACACAAATAGAAGGTCGATTCTCTGCCTCCTCAGGAGCGTCTCCTGGGTTGATCTCCGTAGTGAAACGCATTTTTAAGTTGTTCCCAAAGCCTTCCTTTTTTATTTGGTGCATCAATGAACTCATTGACGGGAACTCGTTCCGGAATTCATCCTGTAAGTGTATATAAGTCTATCCTAGAGTTGCCGCCAGGAAAATTTATAGCCGCCGTTCAGTTTCAAGTAAGCCTTTTCAATGAGACTAACTCTTTCGGGTAGTGCAGCTTGAAAGTAGTTGGTCCGAAGCTGCGTTGACAAGTAGCAAGTCGTCAATTACCACCTTTCGGGACAAGCTGTAGGCCCACAATTTGACCGCGTACTTGCCAAAAAAGTTGTACACTGGCTCCTCTGTCCTTGGATCTGCTGAAATATACTGTTTGTGACCTTCCCATCTGAAATCTCTCTCATAAGCTGCAGGAATGTAAAGTGATGCCACAAACAAACAGTCCATGACAAAATCCTGTTTCACAACTAACGGATTCACTCCTCCTCGTGCAAGCATCACTACGATATGGCCACACTTGGCAGCATACCTCTGATTCTGATTCTAGAGCTTGGATACATAGTAAATCACATACACAAGCGGCTTCTTCACTACCGCTTTAGCCGTTCGTTCACTCACTTAAAGAGCATTCAATGTCGTCATATAACTCCCGGCTGTAGCCATTTTAATCCAGGAATGAAGGTCGTTGTAAGTTGAAGATGTGCGTGATTGGACAAAATACAATACTTGATATGATTGGCTACAAGTCGTAACAGATTTAAATTGGCTACAAGTCATAACGAATAACGATTGGTCAAAAGTCATTCTGAGGCTAGCAACCGTCCGAGAGTGCAGACATTCTAGGACGTATATCATGAGCGGTAGTAAGAAAGCATGGAAACCCTTTGTCAGGTTTGAGTATCAGAACCTCTTGCCAACAAATCTACGTAACAAGGTAATGCAACATTAGCTACTATTTCAATACCCTGTAACACGTTAACGATATGAATTTTTATTGGATTTACAGCTGCGTAAATTATTGGTGTTTACGGAAGCTACAGGCACCAAACAAGTAAACCAATCGCCAGCGGTGTCACAAGGATATCGCTATCCGTCACCAGACAAACAGGCCGAGGGTGTCTTTGTGCCATCCAGTGACTCAAAGGACAGTATCTACAATATCAGCTACTATACGCGTGATATCCGTCGCTTCCCACAGCCACTTGAAGTGGGTATTCACCCGTCTATCCCCGTGGAAAAGCGTGCTGAGATCCCAGCCGATGCCAAACGTGGTTCACCAGGGAACAAAAACCCGGCAGTGCTGAGTTATGACTCGACAGGCACACGCTCTGCCATGTCGACGACTCACGAAGCCCGTGACAAGCTCATTATGCAGCACGTTTCGACGCACAATGTGCGTTTTGAATGGGAAGGTGATGCTGAAAAGGACATTGTCGATGATAATGAGGCGAAGAATCTACCGCCTACGCCTGGTCGTCCCTTTGTATGGGACTTTCCTTCGCAAAGTCGCATAATGCGCTGGTAAAAATGACACGAAGAAGAGAAATTGACGATAAAGACGCGAATGTTGATGAATGCTGATTGGCTGAATATCGTAACATTGCAATATATTGTTTTTCCATCACTAACTTAATATTATCTCAAAGTTACGACGACCTCATGCAGTTTACCGTCATACCCGAGTTCCCAATTCTACCGGCGCCTGAAGTCGTAGCCAAAACAGATCAATCGATTACGCTACGTGTACAGAAACCGCCTCAAGTGGACGGAGACGTGCCGTACAAACTACAAGCGGTCAGTTTTTTTATCTGCTATTCTTACAGTTTTAAGCTAATTTTTATGGTAATTTTTATACTAAATTGTAGAGTTATAGTGAACATGGCTACGTTTATTACTCGTGGAATAATTCAGTGCTTTTTACGGGACACAATTTTCCGGTTAAAGGTTTGACCCATAATACGGTACGATGACTTAGTAAAAAGTTGCATCTGGATTATCCGGATTTTGTATAACATAATGTATACTTTGTATACAGACCTATGTCTTCCGTGTGCGTGTCGTGCATGAAGCTGCTCGACAATGCGGTGAATGGTCACTGCTGACGCCAAATGTACGTACGTTTACAGAGGAAGAAGACGCCAAGCGTTCGGGTACCGTGTTTGAGCATGCACTCAAGCTCGAGCGCGAGCAGAAGAGCATTTTACAGCATCAGATCTCTAAACTCACGGGAATGCTCGATGAACGGAAAACCTCACGAGGAAATGACAATCACAAGGTCCAATTACACGAGGATATGCTGGCTAGTCGTCGGGTTATTGACACGAGACTTGGGAAGCTGCAACGGGAGCTCAGTGCTCAGACGATGGCATTACAGACGATCAAGAGTCAACGCGCTGCGGATGAGCAGATGATTTCCGAGCTGTTAAATGAACAGGAGACATTACGCTCGGCACAGAGCGATCAGCAGGGACAGGTACAATACGAACTGGAGATGCAGACACTTCGTGCTCAATTGGAGAAGAACGAGGAGGCGCTGAAAAAACATCAGGAACAGGTGAATGCCAGTCATGAGCAAATCTCAAGCTATGAAGCGTCGTTGGAGGCGAAGAAAAGCGAGATTTCTCAAAAGGAGAAGGAAGTCGAGAGGATCATGATCGACTGCAATCGCATGGTACAGGAGCAAGCCGATTTAGCTCATGTGAAGCAGCTGGAGGTAGAAGACGCCCTGTTGGAGGCTAAGACATCGTTGGAACAACAGTTGGATATCAACACGTACTTGCGCGAAGAGGTCTCGCGTTTGCGTGAGGAGAATCACCATTTGAAAAATCAAATTGAGGAAGTAGACTCGGAAGTTGTTCCTAAGCTGATGCGCCTGGAAGACGAGAATGAACAGCTGCGTGCCCAGCTCAGCCGACGTTAGAGCGCCGGCATTCGCGTTTGCATAGTGGTGCATTTCGGTGTGCTCGAGTCTTACCCTGCTACCTTCGTAGTGCTCGTTCAGCACTACTTTACTCTTATGTATCCATATCTTATTCCAACTGCTTTCTCAAAGTCTTTGCTTCGTGCGCAGTCATTTCTCTCCATATTGTTTTCTAGAATCCATTGTCCTCGTCGTCTTCGTCAAAGCCGTCAAGTGTGAAGGCGTCAACGGCACCAAGTGGTGGTAGTCTCGATGGAGGTGAACTTCCTGAAAGAGCTGGAGACGGGTTGAACATGGTACGAGACGGCAGCGTACGTTTTACTGGTGTGTGGTGATCATCGCCACAGCCTTCACCATCGTAGGAGGAACTAACCGATGACATGTTGCAAGACCGACTGAGACTACCCATGTAGCCATCAGCGCGATAAGAGGAGTTTGGGAGACTTATTGGATGTGGCGCGCTTCCAGCCATGCTCACGTCCTCATCTATCAGATCCTCTTCTTCTTCACTGTCATCATCATCATCTTCTTCTTCTGCGTCCTCTTGCATTTGTCGGACAGTGGCCTTGACAGATTCCAACAACTCGCAGTTTTCAGTTGATGTCGGGTCAGCATGCTTCCAGTAAAGGTACAACGGTCCAACGTATCGGAAAGATCGGCGCAGGAGATAAGGGTCGAATGGGAAGAAAGTCTCTAGAGGTTGCCGTTGACTAAGCAGAGTGGAAGAAGAAGCTGATCCCGCTGTAGGCTTCTTTGAGCGTTCCATCGACTTGGCAGTTTTGATACTAGACGTGGAGACTGTGCCAATAGCCAGATCCACACGTTCGAGACATTCCTCCGAGACCAGGTCGAACGCCTCTACCAGGTTCAAAAACTCCGTGGCCACCGTCTGCTGGCAATATGCCAACGGACAGTAGCCGCTGCTAGTGACAATTAGTCGCTCCCAGCCAAGGCTGCGCAAAAATTCGTAGCCGGCACCATTATCGCTAGTGGCGATCTCTAATCCTCTAAAGCACATCATATAGCACACCGTCTGCAGCGAGGAGATGTAGATGCTTTCCTGGAAGCTGCGCTCGTCGGCACTCTCCGCTTTCGCAACTCCTTCCAGCAGCCGCTCCTCTTGTTCAGCAGCGCTTTCACCAACCCTATCATTCGCTTGCTCTTGCTGCTCCAGGTGTATTGCATCGTAGAGGTCCATCTGGTCGTGCAGCCACTTCAACAGGTGATACAGAGCCTTCTGAAGATATGCTACAGAAATGTACTTGGCGCGAGCGAGAAAACTGGCCAAGTAGGCGCCACAGCTTTGACGTGTGGTCGGCGGTGTTTGTGGGTCCAGTGACGAGGCCAACAGCTGAGAAATGAAAATATCCTGAAATTGGGGGTCTGAACGACACACGTAGAATAGCAAAAACTGCGGGTACTTAGACCGATGAGTGTTAAGGATAGAATGTTCGAATACCTTGAGAAGGTACTTAAAAACAAGCGCGGCTTGGCGCATGTCCACATCCTTCCCACCATTGCTAGCTGCGGTGGATGCTACCGTCTCAGACGAAACCAAAACGGGTGAACACGATGCAGCAGACTGCTCGATGTGCTCAAACATTATAAGCATCAATTGATCCAACTTGTCCGCCATCTCGTCCACTTGGCGCGATGAGTCATCAGGTGGCAGCATATCGTCGTCCAGAAAATCATCCATGGTGAAAACATCTTCTTCACTCTCATCCAATTTAATCTCCACATCGATCGCCACTAGCTGGTCAATTACCAATCCCAATACCCGCTCGCGTAGCCCACCAACATACTCCGTCACACGCAAAACATTCCGTAGATATCCCACCTGAGTAGCTGCGTCCATTCGTTTGTGTGGAAAGTGTTCACACAAGATAGGAAACAGTAGATTTGTTGCAGTTGGTACCAGTGTAAGCACCCGTTCAAGTGTGTGATGTGCCGCTTGATATCGTGCCTGGATGCGTTCATCCAGACTTAGTCCCTTGCTCTCCTGCACCGTCTCAGCAGCAGGCGTCGACATGGCCCCAAAAGAATTTGCCATGGCAATGTCGCCACTAGCAGCAGTTTTTTTAGCCTCTTGTTGCTTGTTTTGCTCTGTGTCTGCGAGAGCTCGCAGCTCCGGCGACAGCTCCTTGAGCTGTGGATGGCGCATGTTGCGCACCAGCATATGTAGAGTTGGTACAACGTAGACGGTATTGGAAGACACGAGATGAACAATAAAGCGCGTATAATCGTCCACCTCCTGTGGGTCACCATTGGCCAGCAAATCAAACTTAAACAGCACGTCCAGTAGCGCTCGATAAGCCTTTGGCTCTCGTGCTATTGTAGAGATACAACGTGGTAAAGCACGGAAGATTTTACGCCGAGTAGCGATAGATGCAGGAATTAGCGTTAGCTGTTGAATTAAATATTGGTAGCTCTTGGGATTACCCTATCGGAAGAAATAGAGCGAGTTAATAAAGGTTGAGATAATTTATAGGGAGACATTTAGAGTAAAGGGTTTTGATTCACCTTGAGCAGTAAATCTAATGCATTCTCAATGAAGCGATGCATACTAAGGACCTCTTCTTTTGTTGGTGAGGTCGTTACGGGCAACGTCGAAGCCAACAACGCTTCACTTCCAGCCATTTTCGAGTCTATTAAAAAACTAATTGTCGTATTTGATATGTAAGTCAAAATAAAGGACGTTAAGCCGGTTAATAGAGGTCTCTATTAACGACGCTATTTACACATGAACCCTATTATCGTGGGCAGCTCAAGCTATTGCTATTGCTGTTGCTACTGCTGTTACGATGGTGTCCTTGTTGATGACATGGGAGTATCAAACCACACACCAAGTGGATGTTCCGACGCTCCTTTTGGTGGCAAAACATTGGGAGGACCGACACTGTTGAGAATGCTACGCATAGTGAAAAGATCGAGACCGTATTTATCCGCCAGCACTTGATGCGTCCAATTCTCAGGCTGTTCATAGTGAAGACGCAAGAGCGTCCTCAAATCTCTTGCCGTTAGTCGACCACGAACTTTCTCTTCGTCAATACCTCCAATACCCGTAGAAGATGCGGCAGTCGTCTTGTCGGTCGGGAGACGAACAGGTTGCAATGATCTTGGGCGATGACTGCTTGCAGTATTCTCAAAGGCGCGTGTACTCTGTTCCAGGAGCTTGACACGTTCACAATCGTTGATCTTTTCGACATTTTGCAGCATTTGGTGCTGCATTTCCATGAGATTTTTCTTGGAATCGTGTCGATCAATTGACGCTTCAATGGCTGCAACTTGAGCTGGAGACGTGACACGACGTGATAAAGCCATTACTTGTTCAAGAGACACGTTTGTGCGAATCACTCGAGAACGAACGGCCGAAGCCACCGACGGCTTGCTTGTAGCTCCTCCCATAAAGCGACAATTAAAGTAATCGAGTCGATTAGAGGGATCGTATTTTAAAGAAACTTATTTGGGCACTTGTTCATTTTTTTGATAATGACAATTAGTACGAAAGTACTAGAATTTTCAAACTGCTGCTGGTCTCTGTTAATGAAGCATTGCGTTCCTTGCAGGTCCGATGTGGTCATCAAGTCGTGCACGTCAATGATTCATTGGTTGGAAATGGAGAGGTGATCAATCTTGCGTACTTCACTCGAAAGTGTCGTATCAACCAACTCACTCGTCTTCTCGCTGGTGTCGGCTGGGGAGCGATAGCGAAAAGAAAACATGCTCGTCACACGCGCCAACCTCATTGTCCAGAGCCTTCAAAACGATCAGGTATCACTTTGTGCAGCTTGAATAGCTGCCACCTTCGCTGTCGTTGTTCAGCAACAATCGCGCGTCTTGTTTGCTTCTTCTGGGTATCATCGACTAGCGGTGAAGCCTTGTTCGGTGTATCTACCGAGGTGTCGATGGCATAGATCTTTACGGATTGAACAAAAGCTTCGACGCAAGCTGCTGCTCCTGCTGGCCTCCCATCGAAGCAGCAGCAAAACCTGGAGGTGGGCGGGCTGGCATCCGTGGAGACGATGGGCTATGTGTCTCAGCCTGGCTCGCCGGCGTCGAGGCACTCAAAAACGCACTCAAGCTCGAAGTCCTTTGCTGGTACAAGGCCGACTCACGCTCTACAGCTGCCAACTCAGTCATAGGAGCAAAGGGACGATTGTCACCAACGCGGCTGCTAAACCCATGGCTCTGCGCATCACTGGTTCCTCCAGAGGTGATTGATGACGTCATAAACCCCGTGTCCAGGCTGCGGAATGGCAAGCCCAGACCTAAGCCCAGACCTCTTTCCTAATATCTTGTCGTTGTCGTTGCGGTTGCCGTTAGTGTTGTTGCTGTTAGCGCTGTTTCCCCATCCGGACATGAGGTGTTCACTTACCAAGCTGCCAACACCATTGAATGTATCAAAGCTAGGGTAGCCAAGTGATGAACCAAACGAACCGTGGCCAGAGCCAAATGCATTACTCTGGCTGCTAACGCTTGCACCCTGGCCGTCTGATGGTGAAATTGGGCTTGGAGCTCGGAGACTGAAGGTACCGCCACCAGACAAAGTATCCAATGAAGAAGGCACAGTGGTCGCATATCCGCTGTGTTGCTTGGTCGGCTCGTTCCCTGACATCCCTCTTAGCGCTGGCGACGGCCTGAAAACGATCACCTCGTCGTCAAAATTGTCATCCTCATCATCCACGCCAGAACCAGATTGATACTCATTGCGAAAAGCTTCCTTTGCTTGTGTTTGCTGCTGTATAATGTTGTCGGTCGACAGAAACCCGAGGTTTAGCGAAGCTAATCCATCCGCCGTTTCACTATCCTGCTGAAATACTCCCTTTTCAGCCAAAGGCGACGTCGTAAATTGCCCTGATGCACTATAAAAAAGCAACGGATTCCCTTCGTAGCCGTCGCATAAATACCGCGCGAAGTGATACAGTCTCCATGCACGAATTTTGGCTGCCTCATCGTCCGGTAATGGTGTCACTTGTGAGGCACTATTTTCTCCAGTGGCCGAAGATTGCACCGCCCATTCGTCCTGCCATGTGGACGCAGTATTATCCTCCTCAAGTGGTGCAAATCCTCGAAGCTCGAGGTTCTCTTTCAGCAAATGCTGTTGTGTGCAAACAGTTAATGGCAGACCGTCATCATTGTGCTGACCAGCATTTGACACTAACAGAGCACATAACTCGCGAATACGTGCATGGTTCACAAGTTTTGCCAAAGTTTCAAGAAAAACGAAAGCAAACTGGTCTGCGCCGGCTCCTTGGTCATTTGTTGTCACTTCGCTGAATAGCTTCTTCGGACGATGCACCAAAAGCTGTTCTAGTTGCTCCAGCATATTTGGATGCAGCTTCAAGTAGTCACAAAAAATCGCAACGGGCCCTAAAAGTCGCAGCGTCAAAAGCGCCAAAGCTTTACCACTTGCCTCCGTCTTCGGCTTGTTGTTCAAGCTATCCAAAAGAAACTCCATAACACAAGTGATCGTACGAATAGAGAGACGAAGAGCATCCTCGATGGGTGCTGACTGGGAGCGAGAGTCCGAGGCGCGAATGAGGCAAAAGATGTTCGTCACTACAATCTTTAGCAGCAATGCGTCTCCCAACACACCTGCATGTAACAATACCTGCATGTCCTTAAACAGAACTGCCTCCATATCACGCGGGTACATTGGTGCCGTCAAGTCGTTGCTGCTGGCTCTGCCCGGCATAGCTGTAAGAGATCCATGAGGCGACGAGAGAGCGAACAAGATGCCATGCATTCGTGTGAGCCGATGCAAGTAGCTCTTCAAAAGCGCCGATTTTTCCCTTGACAACGGAGACGATGTCTTCAATGTAATCGGTGCAGCCAATGGACGCTGACGAGTGCGCTCAAAGAGCAGTGCAAGATTCTCCTCCGCCGTCGTGAAAGGCTGCGATGTCAGCAAACTCCTGCAATAGTGATACACCGCTACCGTCTCTGCTTCCACATAAGTCGCCAGCACCGCCAACTGGTTGTGCGGATTGCCATTCTCGGGTAGTACCGCCAATGCACGATGGTACAGTGCCTCAGCCGCTGCAAAGTTCTTTTTGATCTTTTGACTGTGCAGCTCACGGTATCGCGCCAAGTCTCCTAAGAAGACATAGCAGCGGTGCAAACTTTGACGACAGCGTACGACGTTGATGGCGACGTCGCTACCCTCTGCAATAGCAGCTCCCGGCTGATTTTGCTGCAGCCACGAGGCAAATACATTGCTCAAATACGTGTAAAAGGCCGACGCCTCAGTTAAAAACTGCTGGAACTCGCTAGACACACGCGCAAAATGCTCACGCACATTGCGGTCCGTCTGCGCTGTCGCCGCGTATTTACGGATACGACGACGAAAATCTTCGATACGTCGATAGAAACAGGGTTTCCAAAGTGCCAGTTCAACTTCTTTCGATACTGCGAATTCTATATGAGTGTCAATCATTTGTATGACAGCATCCATGAGCTGACGACGTAGTACGTTGGCGTCTTGGACGTTTAATGGATTAGCACGTAATAAATCCCGCAGCTGCTTGTCCAGTGCCACCATTTCCCTGTTAATATAGATATGTAGGACAGAATTAGTAGGTAGTAGATAGAAGAGGGCGAGAAGAACGTACATGTAGGCGTGATGCGGGTCCATAGTGTTCCGTGACCCCAACGACGTCGACTTGGTTGGCAGATGCCTCGATGGGGGCGATTCAAAAGTCAATTAGAAACGTTTCTAACAGATGATGTTACGTTTTTGTTTTTAGTTACGTGTAACCAATTAAAAGCTTGCCTTGCTTGCAAGACGGGCAGAATCTACTACTATTTAGTGGTATAATTTTGCATGTTGCGGCTTTATTTGCACGTCTAAAAATGACTGTAGGGTAACTTCATTAGCTGAACCCATTTATTACTCCAAACGCAGTATTGACGATTAATATACGCCCATCGATCTCAAATCTACGTGTCTGCAGCGAGTCCACTTCCAAATTTAGCAGCGAAGCCCTGACAGCCAAGTACTAGCTGGCAGGATAAAATAATTCCGCGTACACGCGTCTCGCTCACTTTCTCCAAAACTAAGTTGCGCAACCCCACCTCTTTGATGAGCGTTATGCGAGGCTCGACAGGATTCGTTCAGTGCGAGCCACCAGGAAGGCAAATTAAACCGCTGAACCCGTGCGATGGTAGCCAAAATGCCACCATTGCAGGAAGGCGACGACGCCCGATTGGGGCCAGCCATTAGGAGACAAGGTGCACGATCCTTTTAGGGAAGTTCCTATCCGAAGGAGCGCCCCAGCCACGTCTATACCGGTATGAAGGCTTGTAACGAGCCAATATTGTAACGGGATTACACGACGGTTGTAGTGTCTTTCCGAGAGTTTACGGTTAAACTCTTCTTTGTATTGCATTTAATGCATTATTATACTTCTCTTTAGAGAGGTATTAAGTATGAGCGTTATAATACGGTATTCGGTAATACCGTATCTTATCGATTGAGATTCGATAAATCACTAACGCTGTATTAAGTACATCATACACAGATGTTTAGACGATACCTCGTCCAATAGAAAAGTCTGCATATAATAATTACTATTATAGTAATTAATCTAGTGTAGTGTACTTAGAGTAGGACTATTCATAAAAGCTTAAAGCATAAATAAAATCAGTTCTCCTTTTGAGTTTAAGATCGCAAGTCGTTCTGACTTGCTCTCTTGTGCACTTCGTGCGTTGGTTCTCTGAACCCCTAAGCTTCTAGCTTCTCTTGCACTCTGTGCGTTGGTTCTCTGAACCTTAAGCTTATTGCTTGCTGACTAAAAGTCTCTCCTACTTCCTTAGAAGAGGGTGACTTTAACGTCGAATACTTAGTTCCTTAAAACTAAGTGGCTTTTAGCCTTAACCCTAGTTAGTTCTCTAGAACTAAGAGGCTTCCAGCCGAAAGTCTTCCTCTGGCTAAAGAGCTGTGCAGCTCGGCTACACTTGGTAGCACTTGTAGTCAATCCTACACCTGAGTCTTTAAAGACTGACCCTCTGTGAGAATGGAGAATCAAAATCACCTCTCTGAGGCACAACGACTCGCCTTAGATAAACTATCTGCGTTCGTCGGGCCCGATCAAATCGAGGCCCTTTTGGCCCAAGGCCCCGAGGTTCTAAATGCTCGTCTTGAGGCCTTTATGCGTTATGAGGCAACGCTCCTCGGTCAGGTCCATGACCAGGCAGCGTCAGCTGCGCCTACACAGTACATTCCGGAACCTGTGCCCGATGCAGAGCCAAAGGCTCGCCCACTTGTCTTAAACGTAAAGACCTTCGAGGGGAAGGAGGGTGAAAATCTTCTCCTCTGGATCCGAGAAGCTGAAATGGCAATGGATGCCGCCATGCTTGTATCAGATAAGCAACGAGTTGGCTTGGCCATTTCGAAGCTCGGTGGAAGAGCTAGAGAGTGGGCTCTAACGAGCGATGTCTCTGTAAATGCTGCATTTCCCACATGGAAAATGCTTAAAAAGCAATTAACTTGCGTGTTTGCACCGCCTAATCAGGCTTATCGTGTGCGCTCACGCTTCCTAGCTACCCGACAGGGTAAGAAAGAATTGTCGGACTATGTCCAAGAGCTGAGAACTCTCATTGCTGCTATGCAGCAGGACCCACTGGCAGAGGAAGTCCGAGTAACCATTTTTATGAAAGGACTTCGCACTGAGGTCGTCAGGACGGAAGTTTTCCGTGTCCAGCCTTCGACTTTTGAGGAGGCAGGAAGCATAGCGTTTAACGCTGAATTTAATTTTTAAGTCTGCTCGATATGGTCTGCCCTGGTATCAATCAAATACCTCTAATAGGGCGGAACCCATGGATCTCAGTCAAGCTGAAGAAGCTGAGTTTCAAGCTGCTGAGCAGCAAGGTAACATCCGTAGATGTTATATGTGCGGAAGCACTAGGCATCTCCGCCCTAGCTGTCCGTTGCGAAAGCAACGTTTAAATTGGCAAAGCCGAAACCCTGCTCCTAGCCAAAAGGCGAGCACCGCAGGGGAAAATGTGGCGAAGTGAAAGAGTGAATTTCGCCAAGTGTGATCGCATATTTTCGGTTAAGTCCGAAATGGCCAATATTAATGAGTCGCGATCTCGTGGCCAATATTGATGAGTCGCGATCTCGCAGAAAGGTTTCAAGACGATGTCAAATAGGATGGAAAACAGTGAATGGAGTAGTTTGCACTTCTATGTGGGGTCAAATATGGCCTAGAAACTACGCTATTGCGATCTCCAGTATTTCCGATGGCGATCCGCGTGAACGCGGTCGCTAAGGAGGAAGATGGGTACATCCAAGCATGTGGAGGACGGTCTGGTGTGGATCACGTCGCTATGGAGGACTGGAATGGTAGATATGAAATGTCACATTGATGAACTATCTCACATGACCTGAGAAACGGTGAAGAAGACAAGTCGTGATCCGGCGGATCGCGATCCGATATTAATTATTTAGTACCGCGATCTGGTATTAATTATTTAGTACCGCGATCTGGTACTAATTATTTAGTACCGCGATCTGGTACTAATTATTTAGTACCGCGATCTGGTACTAATTATTTAGTACCGCGATCTGGTACTAAAATGGTATTATATCCGAGTGAGGTAGCGATCCAGATCGCGGCTATATTGGAGTGGACCACATTCCGAGATCTGATTTTTTCCGAAAGGGCGATACGTGGCAACAGATCCTGAGCTACAGATAGTCAAGATCATAGGTTTTGGTATTTGATTGGTTAACATTAACAGAGTTCAATTTGCTTCTAAGTACACGTGTCGACCTCTCTTCCGGGCTGGATTCTTTGGCCTCCCGACGTCTCAAGGAAGTCTACCTACTACGCAAGTCATATCCCTGGATTGTTTGGCCAGGGATTGCAAGAATTCTCAACAAAACAACTCAAGCTGCGATTGGACGCAGAGGACTAAGAAGTCCAGATACAAGATCGCGAGACGGCTCAAGTGGTCAGAAGGCAAGCAAATCAAGTATCTACATTTTTTGGACAAGGCGATCTCAAGGGAGATCAGGGCGACTCAAATAGAGCACCCCAAGAACAACTGCGATCGTGTGAGGAATTCCACGCGATCGCCCCCCCCACCTATCCCTAACACAATCAAGTTCAACATCGACTCAAGTCTACCGAGAAGAGAGCAACCCGCCCTACCGACGGGTACACAAGGTGAGGAAGGCTATACACACAGAATCGGGGTACCCCCTCCGTTAGTCGGTCGTCCGGGCGCCAGTGGAGAGTTGGGATCGCATCAGCAATCTTGCGAACCCCACTCCACCACAATGGTGCGCGTGCCCGGATCTTCTGGTGACTCGGGATTTCACCGTGAGTTCCTGAGAGAAGATGTCAAGATCAAAATTGAACCTGGGATTGAAGCGTCAGCGGTAGAGGGATCGCCGCAGACGTGTGAAGAAAAAAGATCCCCGGATCATCAGCGTTTTGGGAGGGACGCAGATGAAAAGAAAACCAAGGAGGAAGATCAAGAGATTGATCTGGAAGAAAAACCTCTACCCCCTCCCCAGGTCCTTTCGAGGACCCCTGCGGATCGCGTTGCAAAACGCGATCCGCTGGATAAAAACCCTTCGGTTAAAACAGAGGGAAAATTATCCAAAACCACTCCGAATTCGAAGAAGAAGAAGAATTCGAAGCCATCCCGAGTGAAGATGAAGGCGCCTGAGTCGGATCATGATGATATCGACGTGAAGCCAGCGCATGAGGAAGACAAGGCGAAAGGATGGCAACTGGATCAGCTGGAATGGTGTTTTCATTGGAAGGCACTTAAAGATCTGTTGTCAAGCGATCCCGTTCTAAAGATTTTGAAACCGAAGTTGATTGGATCGCTGCGAGGACCAATTTCAGCTCCCATTCCGACAACGAACCAGTTGGAAGCGATCCGTCGGCTTATGGAGTTGCTCCAGAACGCTGGATTCACCGCTGGAGCTTTTGACGCGCAGGTGCTGTTGGAATGCGATCATGATCGGGTGATCCAAGCAGGGCGATCTCTGTTTTCGAAGCTAGTTCCTCTCACTGGAGAGCGCGATCCGGTGGATCAGACGATCCAGCCGATTGCAGATATACCAAAAGGATATCATACGGGATCTTCGCAATATATGTCAGCGGAATCCGAAGGGGAGTCGGACGACTCGATTAATATGCAGCGAATGTCACTTGGACCGGCTGGTGCAGCGCATATTTGCGAGCGACTGGCACCGATTAAGGCCAGAGAACAATCGACGACGGCACTCACAGCTGAAGACATGAACGTGAATGGATCAGGTCAATTGCAATCTTATTTTAAAGCTGCCATGAGAAAGTACGAGCAGGATCAAGCTCGCATGATCGCCAGTCGATCCGCGATCCCTACAAACATCCCAAAAGTTTGCATTTCGGATGTGGATATGGAATCGGCCGGATCGCGTCAATCGCGATCCAATAATTACGATCCAGACGATTTGGGTCTGGAGGATCTAAGACGGCCACAAGTCGCAAGTGCAGGCACTGTACCCAATGGTGGACTTGTCACCCAGCGAATTCGAATGTCTGCGATCGCAGATCTAAAAGAATTTACAGGACGGGACAAGGACGAGGATCGAGCGAGAAGTTGGGTCAACAAGGCCAAGTCGGCGTTCTTACG